GGGGGGCACCCCGGGGGGGGGGGGTGGCCGCCCCCCCCCCCCCCCATCCCATCGCTGCAAAACAAAAAGTTCTATGAAAAGCAAATCTAGTACCCACCTTCCTAGCATTTTGCGAAACACGATTTGAAAGGAGTGTCGACGTCTGTAGGATAGAAATTTTGACTCGTCTACCAGACTGTTGCAGATAAATAAATAAATAAATTTCTCTGTCACGGTCTGTGGTGGTCTCTAGAGACTTCATGCATCATGATACAGCTCGTGGTAGAGTGTTCCAGAAAAGGAGTTTCATCGTATTTCACATTTTAATCCCACAGGGATTGCGCTAACAGCTTTTCTGGTTACGCCAATAGTCCAAACAAACAACGAGAAGTAAGTCCATGACAAGTAAATCGTGCAAACCATTTACAATAGATGAACTTTTATATCATCGTCATTGGTTTATCGACTTTACTTTTCTTTTGATTTCAATTATGTACTGTTTAAAGGTATAATATATTATCTGATGTGTAATCCACTACTTGTACGATAAGATCTTATTTGACAATTATATATTAATTATGATCTATTTATTGATGTTAGTTTGCGTGAATTTGAGTTTTTCAATTACAATACCAGATTTAAGAAATAAACTACTATTAGATAGAAAACGAATTCGATTTTATTATGAACGATGAAAGATATGTGACGATAGTCACAGAAAAATGTGAGAAGTTCACGTTTAGAAATTATTCAAAGACTTCTCGATAATAATGACTAAAGCACATGCGACAAACTATGAACTGATACAAAAAGGTGATGACACAAGTAAGAAAATGGTGGATGGAATGTTGTTTTTTTCATTTCATTTAGGTTGATAATACTCTTTCGACTGATTTAAGTCATTTCAATTGCTAATCGAAAATTTCAGCTGAAGAAAAAATTTCTTTAATGCCGACTTTTCTAAGTCAAATATCATCATTAATAATTCATCGTATTTAAGAACCAATCAATGAAGTATCTCGTTTTGAAATTCTTGAATTTCCTGGTGATTCTATTGATTTGTTAATGATATGCATCGACAAATTATATTTGAAGCTGGAAAACTTAATTTACTTTCGATACAAATTGAATCAGCAGTTTTACATGTTATTCAAATGTTTTTGTTGGTGAAGATGATTATAAATCAAAACCATTTAAATAGAAAATAAATGATATTAGTATACTCAGCTATATCAAACATATAGATCAACGAAGTAATGTTCTATGGATCTAATGCACTTTGATCAACACAAACATTAGCAATACAAATGTTTGCTCTTCGACAAGTTATTGAACAAAAAGATTTTTATTCATTAATTAAACCTTGTGATCTTCTTGATATAATTGCTTTATGATTTCTAGCTGCTATGTGTTATCCAGGTGGTAGTAAAAATGATATATCTGAAAGATTAAAACGTCATTTTGTTTTATATTAAATTTTACTTTAACATCAAATGATGCAGTTGATCATACGTTGTTAAGGAAAATATTTTGTTTAGAAAGACATTTTTCTATTGAGATTATTCAAATTGTTCAAGAATCTATTTCAACTACAAGAATTTTATGGTAACTAGTTAAAGGGAAATTTTTATCAATATGAGCTAAATTTGATTACATATTCAATTTAAAAGATTTATCATGTATATGTGAAGGTATATTACAAATTGATTCTGAACAATGGCAAAATAATATTAATCGGCTTGTCCATGTAACGCGCTATTTCGCTGGTCAAGTTTTAAAAAAAATCTTTTTCGATATGGACAGATTTAAGCGTATTTTCTGGTACAGTTTTTTGCGCTGATTATAAATTTGTGCTTTTTCTTAAAAAAATTGAGTTTTTGCATCGAAAACCGCGTTTTAAAGTTTTCAAAAATCGTGTCTTCAATTTTCTAACCAAGAAATTTAAAACAAAAATGCAGACTAATATACCATTCGATGCAGAATTTGATTCTCTACAAAATAGCCAATTTACTTTTTACTATCATTTCTCAGGACAACTTCTAAGCTCTTGTACAGTTTCTAACTTCCTGTGCAATTATTGAGCTCCTACCCCGAAGAATCATTCCGACAATGGTCAGCCAGTGAATATACCGAACACCATATGTGTTTCAATAAAATCGACGAAATCTTATGGGATTCCTGGACACGGACCGACAGTTGGATCCGATGTTGGATTTTGACGGAATCTAACTCTAACGAATCACCCTTGCGCTCTGATGGCTCAAAATGCTTATTTGATCGTGAATAAGAAAATGATTTTTTTCCGGCGGAGCCGACAATAGGTCCGCGTCCAGGAATCCTATCGGATTCTGTCGGGGAGTCGGATCCCATAGGATTCAATAAGATCCGTTGTCGGATTCATTCACCTGGGATATTTCAATGTAGGGACTTGATCTTTTTACAGAAGGATATATGTACGGCAGTAGTCAATGTATAAATAAACATTAAATATTTTTAAGCATGTTGAGTGTTTCAAATTTGGTCGACACAAAAACGTATCACAGCGTTACGGTTGGACAAGCCGTAATAATATTTCAATACAAGCAGATATTTTCTTCTAAGAGGATTTCAAGTTTTGCCAATGAGACTTGCGCCAATTGTAACAGCAAAACATCAATGTAAGATACATCTTGAGAGTATAGATCTGACTAGGGGGAAAAGACGGATTCTTAGGATTTTGAAAATCCCAAATCCGCGTGTTCCCCCGTGTATTGTAAGCTTTCTCACATCTATTATCCTTTTTATTATCAATCCTTTCCTCTATCCTCGTGAAAGCTACTCATTTTCAGAAATGTATTAATTACGTTGAGTATGACGGGTCTCGCTGCAACTCTTCTCCCTTTTGTGTATGAATCACGATTCTACATCAGAACTTTGCAAATCAGCAGTCAGAGAAAAGTTCAATTGAAAAATGTTTAATGAAATTTGTATTTTCTTAAATATTATGATTCATAGTCGATCACTAGTTTCATCAGCGTTATTCAAATGATAAGATAAATGTGAAAAATTATCGTGCGGTTGACTGACAACATTACTAATGAATTGACTCAAATTTCACTCCCGTCATTAAAATAAACTGTGTGTGTTTAATTTGAAAGAAACGATATTTTATTTTACGACGTCATTAGGAAAGCGAGTAATCACTGTAAGGTCAGTGTTGATGCATTCGTTGAACTGATTAAGACGACTTTCAGAAATACCGATAGCAGCTATTTAAGTGCAGTGGGCGGCATCTGCCGCCATCGTTGAATATGATTAATTGTGATGGTCACAAGCATGAAAAGAATTTTTAACTTCGATATACGCATGATTTTCCACTCAATCTTACAGTCGCTCCTCTGTTTTTCGAAAGAAAAATCGTTTCATAGCTTTAAGTCATGTCTTATGATACATGTATTCATTTTATGTGAGCAATATATTTCAATCAGATGATGTACAGGTAAAAAACATCATATTCTGCATGATGATGTATCTCAAAAATGAATAGCATGCTTGTTTATTTGTTTGTTTGTTTTTCGTATTCAATGCGACTGGTATATACACTTTGATTAGTAACACCACAGTGAAATATAATTAAGTTAGGCTAAAAAACACTATTCATTTTTCATTCAGCCGAAAAATGCCCAAGTGTATGTCCGATCATGCATAACATTCTTTTTTTATTTACATGCCGAAAAATGAAGTAACTAGGTAAAAGGTATCGATTTGAGTGGCGAATCGTCGTTGTTGACGGTAAATTGAGAAACGATATATGCAATGACTGTTTTATTTAGAGCACAGCTTCAAGGATATTCTCACAAGCAAAAACCTCTGCTGCTGGTGTATTGAATGGCAAGGTAATTAGATCTAACACACGAATGTCAACTTCAATTTAGTGAGAGGTACAAAATTTAGAATTTCATCTTTCAATGTGCCTTGAAAAATACAATGAAAAGAGATAATTGATTGTATTCGAAAATCGCTGACGTTGAGAGAGTCACAAATGAGGCCTGATTGCTTAAAAATACAGCTTTGAATAACTCAAATGCATATATACGTATGTCGTATCGAAGTTATATCGATCGGCGACGTTACTTTTGTAATGTAAATATTGATCAATCAAATAAATGACGGTAATATTATCATAATGCGCGATCAAAAATAATGTTTTCGTTATCATATTTTTTATTTGAAAAATAATTTACTGTTTGTTGAATTGGACGAACTGAAGTTAACATTCTTGGACTAATTTGCTTCTATCTTAAGTAGCAAGTTAAGAACATCTTACATGAACACATTAGAACTGAAGATTGAATCATGTAAATTGATGTTGTCAAAAAAAATGAGATTACAATTAGTAATTCCTTCATCAGTCGTTTAACAAACATATGCTAAATGTAAAGAAAAAATGGCTCATATTGTCTCAAATCTGAGGTATATAAAAATTGTCATTTTTCATCAATTGCTTTCTCAAAATGATGGCCTTTCTTACACCATCAGCGTATATTTGATTATGGAATATTTACATTAAACAAGTAACTTCGAAGGTTTTGTCTCACGAAGTTCAGACGTTATCATAGAAAGACATTTGCTTTGTAGCTAATATCGAAAAATATCATCTAATTTAAAAGCACACCAGCTGTTCTAAAAGCCAATGTCATATTGCAATATGAGAGTATCGAAGAGCTTTTTTGTCTTTTGTCTGGATTTTTTATGATTTTCAACTTGAGATTTTAGTTAACGAGCAATGACATGATGACTAAGGCCACTATTCATGAAAGATTATGGCATTGTCGAGTTTATAGTTCAGATCGTCTTAAGTGCCACTGTTAGACTTCGAAAACAACGACTAGTCGATGGACTAAATACATAAATTCGAAACTCATTGTCTATATTAGTAGTGTGAGAATATACAGCTTCGTCACAGAAAAAACGTATGCATAGCTATGGGAGTAGATCGAGTAGAAACTACTTCCTATCAACAAATCTGTCAAAAGAATTTGCTGAAAAGTTCTTCTGAACAATCAGACGAGTGATGTTGAATCGAAAATTTAGAACTAAGGATGTACAGAAGAACACCGTTCAATTCTGATCAAAAACAGTCGTTGCTGTTTTCCCTTAATTAAACACATTCCAAAATTAGTCAAAACCACACTTCCTCCTTCGCGCGGTCTACTCCGATTCATTCGTTTTCTTTTATAGATGAGTAACAAAATTAATTAATAGGGTAATTTTAAATATTTTTTTCTCGCCAATTGATGACCAGCCTATAAATCATAGCATGCACGTCAAAAATCAAGGAGTCACTGTATTCATAATGTACTTCCTTTTACAGCGTGAAGAAAAGACTGCTTGAATAAAAAATTGTATTTTAATTGCAACTGGATGATTCACTAGACGAAATTCAGTAGCAAGAATGTTACTGTTACATAATAAGTCATGAGGATGATTCCTCATCTCTTTTAAGTGCTGCCCGATATCGTCTTGCGTTATAACGGTTTCGCTCATTCCTTCTTTCTTTCTTTCGTTTCTCTTATATAGTTTGTCAACACCTTGACTCATCTTGATTTCTTTATTCTTGTTGTTCTCTCTTTTTTCTCTTATTCAACAAAAGAAGCTTTAGATTGTTTGTAAAATAAAGTTAATTTTTAAGGGTTCATATTTGATAGATATTATAGCGATCAAGATGAAACGAGCTTTGGTAATTGGCAATGATGATTATCCTTTCGAACATCAAAAGCTAGAATCATGCGTCGACGATGCGAATGACATGCACGATGCCTTGCGCATAATCGGATTTGACGTGCTACGCAAAACAAATATTCCATTCAAAGATACGCAAATAGCCACTAAAACATTTCTACAATCGATTCAACCGGGTGATACTGCTCTTTTCTACTTTTCTGGCCATGGTTGTCAATTAGATGGTATAAACTATTTGATTCCAACTAACGACACAGAAATTGATGAAGAATCTGTTAAACATCGTACTTTAAATGCTCAGAAACTGACTACGGATGTGCATGTTCGAAATCCAGGATTGTTCATCATGGTTCTCGATTGTTGCCGAGATAATCCGTTTGCTGATCAGGCAAGTCTAAAGAACTTCTTCGGCTTCAGGTCAAAACGATTCAAGGATGGACTTGCACCGATGAAAGGACCACCGTCGACAATCATTGCTTATGCGTGTGCACCCGACCAATTATCACTAGCTGGCGGCGGGAACCAGCGTAATAGCGCGTATACTTGCACTCTGCTTCATTATATCGTATTGCCGATGGATATCAAGACAGTCTTTCAAAAAACAGCTATTGATGTTCACAAAACTACTGGACGTTACCAACAACCGTACTTGTCTATCAACTACAATAAGCCAATGTACCTTGTGAACAATTACATGGCTAATAATCCAGCGTTGCAGAATTTCTTGCGTAGACGGCGTCCTTGTGGCAAGTGTTTATTTTCATGTCTTATATTAATAATCATTCATCGTGTTTGACTAGGACCGTACGTTGCGCCTCCGAAAAGACGAGATGCTACTAGGAATCATCAATCTCGGGTCGATATGTCACAGCATCGATGGAACGCTCAATTCGGCATGGCAAATAATTATCGATCTCGGACCAATAACTCACGGTATAGATGGAACAGCCAATTAGGGATACTGACGAATTATCCCGCACCTAGCAAGCTGATGTTACCACACCCGAGACGAAGAAGTATGCCTTCTGGTTTCCCGCTGACTGTTATCCACAGAAGCCATCATGCATTAAGAGATAGTCAATACCGACGGGCAAATTTAACACGTAGTTTTAATGCTTTTAGGATATATTAGTGCTAAATTACTTTGAATTTTTATAATTATTTCAGAATAAAAAATACAGCATTGAATATTTGTCGATCACTCTTACTTGGTGGTGTGGGTGAAGCAGAGAGTAAAAGGACCAAGGGTGAAAGGGCGGATTTTTGGAATTTTTAAAATCCCAAATCTGCCTTTCCTCCTTGGGATCTGAGCTCAGGCTTTCTCCACACATTTGCTTTTTTTCTGCAAGGCATTTATATTGAAAAAGTATAAATAGCGTTCAAGCAACATCTATTAAAACATAGGATCAACAATTACTACCAACAATGATGCTCAGAACTATTGCAATAACACTTGCAAAGAAAATTATAATAGGTTTTTCTTCTTTGATATTCAATTTTTTTCTTCCCTTTCTTGATCCAGTGATAAAAGCGTGTACGTTTCGAATGACCATTCAGAGAAAAAACTCTTAGGATCATTCGGCAATGCAATTCGCTCACAGAATGCACGCAATGGATCGTCGATATCGTAGGGCGTTAAACCTTCTAGCTGTGGGACTAGAGCGACTAATGCAAGACATATAAACGAGCCGATAGATAGTATGGTGTCACGATATATGATAAGATTTGTGCCAAAAACTATAAATACAATGACAAGCATAGCAAAAGCACAGTATACAAAGCGAGCAGTGCGATGCCATATGTATATCATGCTGATGACAATCAATGAATAATAAACTAGTAACAATTTAATCCGCAAAAAATAAACATTTATATGCATTTGAAGAGAGCAAGGCAGATCTGTAAAATTATAGCAACCATTGGTTAACAATACTTGAAGCTTGATTAAACGAACATGTGTAAAATAGAAAGATGCATATTTGACACGATAAGGTATGATGTATAATCAATGCCAGCCAAAGTCAATGGAGAATAAAGTAACAAATAGTCAATATTGACAAAAGAAAATTTGAATTGGCTTTTTCTAAAAAAGAATATAATAATTATTTTTTCTTATGAAAACTTTAACAATTTTGAAAATTACTATTTTACAAAATCCTGCAATATAATTTAACCAGATTATTGTCAAAATTTTTCTATCAATTCTGTGTTCATTAAAAGTGATAAGTAAAAGTTTCGGAAAATACTCAGATTGCGTTCTCGAATATAGCGAATATAAAACTAGAGAACGAGCTGAAGAATTTTTTGTTTGGCTTGCTAATTTTAATCGTTTTTCTAATACAAATTTAGTTTTTCGATAAGAAATCCAAGAACTGATCCTATCGAAAGAAAATTCTTGACAGAATGATAACTAATAGAGATAAAAATATCAATCATACCAGTCCCATTCATGGTTTACATTGATTGGTTGTCACAAGCGGTTGATGCCCATCTGGATAACAGGCGTTTGAGTGTAAAAGAGTACCTCGTGTTCAACAATGGTCGGCCAACAAACTTATCATTTCTTATACAAGTAGCTTTCGTTGCAGAACGTACTGCTTCACTTTGATATTTTATCAACATATTATGAATACGAAAATTATTTAAGCTGGTCACTGGAGCAGACAAAAAAAGTGCATTTATTATTTTATTCAAGAAAAGCTACTCTTAATAATTGGTTTCCTTCAAATACGAATGAAATCTCTCAACATCAATTTAGCTACTGAGGATCTATAAATATTCTATAAGTTATTTCCTTTGAGGATTCAGTATTTGTAATTCTATAGTACAGAAAACTCTTGTATGCTTTGACTTATTCCATACTTCAATAGAAACAAGACGCAAATAAAAGACTCAGAAAGGAGAAAAAAGAATGGTATCTTTTACTGCTTCATAATCCGTACTCAGTAAGAAAAGCAATGAGTTGTCTGTTGAACATGCTATAATGAAATACTAAATGTACGTCGAGAAAGAATGTTATTTTATCTACAGTCTTTCATTAATAACAAAGTAACAGAAGTAAAAATACAGATAATGATGTTTCGTATGAAAGGAAAAAGTGCACGTTTTACAAAGTTTTATTAAAAAATCATTGGCATCTTTCAAAAACCTATTTCTGAACAAATTATTAACTAGCTCACATTTTTATGGCGTAGTTATTTTGATTATTTATTGGACTAGTGTGTGGGACTGCTTTTTTTCATCCTACATTTCATTCCGAGAAAATTCTTGCACAAGATGGGGAGTAGAACTTGGAAGAAAACGGAGCATACTATACTATACATAAGCTTCGTGGGGAAAATCTTTGAAAAATTCAACTTTCATCCACTTATAGGTTGCAGCATAGAACCAAAAATAGTCAGCTAGAATGAGAATTTCATTCTTTTTAAGCATTTATATTCAGATTTTTTCCCTTAAAGTTGATTCATTGAGAACAAGTATTTGATGGAACCCAAAAACAACATTTGTACAGAAGTTTTCATGTAGTCCATTTTGAGGAACTCGCATATATTTTCGAAGAAAATTGTGAGCGTTAGTTTAAAGCTGAGCTTTTTCATACATGTCAAGCTTGAATTTCAACTTTCAAGTTTGACACTACTGCAAGACGGGGAAAATTTCAATTTGCACATGAATATCATGCAATTAAGAACCTAAGTGATTGATGTGAAATATACAATGGCGATTGTTTTCATCCAGCGTGTTTAAAACCGAAGATTCGCCACTAAGATTGTCTAAGAACAAGAGAAAACTAGTTCATTACCCTTTTTTTTAATATAAATCTCTGTATTGGTAAAAACAGAAATAAAGCATAAATGTTTGTCGTAACGCACAGAAAACTATATTTCACTTGTCGTATACACAAACACGAATATAGACAAACGTTTGTATCTGACCGATTGATGATTGGCTTTGTTCGCTTTCTTTCACTTTGTCTTCATTTTCCTGTTTACTTGCATGTAATGTTATATCATTAGGGAGTCATACTATGCAGCATATCTAGTGGCGGCGCCAGGGGTGGACTAAGTCCACCCTAAAATGTGTTGAGCCCACGCAGAAATTTTTTAAGGTTCTGAAAAAATCGATGATCTTTTTATGCAAGTGATGCCCCGGCATACGACTGCTAGCTACGATAAAGATAAAGATTCTTGCTTATTTTCTATTGGATGTTACGAAGTGAATATGTCACTGAAGGCAGCGCCTTTTTGGCACAGGACTTTGAACGTTTATGCGAATAGTGTAGAATCAAAAACGTTTTAACCCAGTTTTCACAGCAATATGAGAAATTATATATTTTACCTTTCATATACACGCCAAAGATGATTTCTTTTTGGCACGCAAGATAAAAGGTTTGGCCGAAAAACATCCACTGTCAAAAATAATGCGTGCTTTTCACAAAACCAAGAGAAAAATACCATTTCTTACATACAGCGATCGACTATGACTTCGCTTTCATCTATTATATTAGCAAATGAACAAGAACTCGAAAGGAATTTTCTGTTATTCAATAGCATTTCAAGTCAAGGAGAACGCATTTCATGTGGGAAGCCTAAACGAAGCGAAAGTGTTTTAATGGAAAAATCTATTGGAAAACCTATTGTGCGAAGCGAAAATTTTACTAGAATGCAAGAATATTATTTTCTAAGAAACTTTCATCGAGTAGTATCTTATTTAGTTTCTTGTACGCAGAATTGTTCAATAAAAAAGGGAAAGTTTGTTTTTTTGGTGAAAAAGCGGAAGAGGTGGCAACCCCGATCGAAAACTACTCCAACCCTTCTATACATTCATGCGAACTATTTAGCATTGAATAAGAAACAGTTTTGACTAATCCAAAAATTCGACAAATTTTCCAATCATTTTTTCGCTTTTCAAAACTAAAGTAGTTCGAGCCCACCCTAGTCTGAATTCCTGGCGCCGCCTCTAAGCATATCATGTTGAAGGTCAATAATATACGCCAAATAGAGTTGTTATACTCTTGATTTATGATTCCATAAGAAAAAAATCGATATAAAGATATAAAAAAAAACAAATACAGAACATAATTTTGAATTGATAACAAACGAAATTAAGAAAGAACAATATGATTTACAAACTGAATGTTTGGTCGGTATAAAAAGAACAAAAGAAAAGTCGCCGTTTACGAGCATTAGTCGCCAAAAGTTTCACTAAATGACTTTGATTCATGAATAGGCAGATAATCAGCACCATGAAACATTAAGTAATGACAAATTTTCTTCTGTTTACTATGCACATTAGAATAATGAACAACGAGACCAAAATGGTGAGCCAGAGCTTTTATGAGAATCTTGTTTTTTGGGTATTACTACTGTTTTACGTGATGGATCAGCTCCCTTTAAAATATAAAAGAAAAGTAAAGTAAGCAAAATGAAATTATTCACAGGTACCAGAGATAGGCAGCTCCTTTTCCGCTTTATTCGAATTAAAATTTGATGAAAAAAATTCGATTCTATTCCTGGTTTATGAAAAATCTGCAGCTGATTTTCATCGATCTACATGAATTATAATCAATTCAGCTCACCGAAATGTTCTCCCTAGCATTTTCACATAAGTTTTCTTCTGTGAATGAAGACGGGAGAATTAATGAAAGAAAAGCTCGTCATCTGATACTCGACGCAACGATAATTAGCTTTTTATTAATTGCTGATTTTCGATATTCCCTATTGATATATATATATATATGTATGCTGATGTAAAACATGAAATTCACTGAGCATAGTCTAACTTCAAGAAAAAAAAGTTTTGTCGTTAGAGCAGAGCTGGAGCGAGAAATAGTCGGAGCTGCCCATCTCTGGAAGATACGTACGGCTTTTTTATCAATCTTAGCTTTGATGTCTTTGGCAATAGCAAAAAATGCTTCATCGATATTCTATAATAGTTAATAGATATTAAATATATCAGCATAGAAGATATTATAGATAATTACTTACAAGATTTCCTTTCGCACTGGTTTCCATAAATTTAATACCATATTCATTCGCAAGCTAAACAAAAGAAAATAAAAATTGATCAATATAATTTTCTATGGACATTTTTTTCTTGATCACGCATTTGAGATATAACAATTTTTCATAATTAACCTTGCCATTCAACGTAACAGAATTTCATATATTGAGTTAAATCCAATCAAAATCACAATGAACGAAAGGAATATATGATTATGTTTCTTTATTTTTAATGATTTCATCCTTGTTTATCTTCAAAAGTCAAATGTCAATATTAAATCTTTTTCTTATTGATCTAGATTCTCTACTGTTTTCTGTACAATTTTTAAGTTTCTAACGTAATACAAACATAACCTAAGGGATTAATCAAGATATTCAAGGCCGTCGGATTCAAAAAGCCTCAAAAACGTCTGGTCATAGTTAGCTGCTGGTAAATAGAAGTAATAAAGAGAATTTTTCTTAGCATAGTCTCTAAAATCAATCTTCGAACGAACGAATGAAAATTTAGAAACTGTTAAAACTAACTTCTAAAATACGTTCTTAATGAAAATGATCTACGGTCGTTCTCACTAAGAATTTTTCGATTTCTTTTTTTGAACCTGCAGCCGAAATGAATGTTCTTTTATTTGAAAACTTCATCCGTCAGAAAAGGATATTTTTTTCTTCAGCTGAAACAATCTCAGCAACATGATTTGAATCCTTCCCCGAAGAAAATATTTATCAGATAAAGTTCTTTCGTCAACAGTGCGTTCTGGACTTCAACAGATAACAAAAAACACCTTCATCAATTTATAGATGTTTTTATTCAAAATACTAAAAATTAATTAACGTGACCACCTTCATACACTCAACCCAACTCTTTCGAGATGTGCACTAAAGAATCAGCACCTAGGAGATATTGACTTATTTCGTATTACTTTCTACGACTCTCAAACGATATCATTTCAAAATTGCCACCATTCATCAATACCCTAATGAAAAAGAATCCTATAAATTTACATACATTTTCACCCTTTTCTCGTAAAACTTGTCGTTTATCGTGCATGTCGCATTTATTTCCTATGAGCATTCGTTCAACTTCAACCGAAGCATGCTAAATAATTTTATAGAAGAAAATAAATGAATTTTTGTTACTATTATTAATCTACTTATTCATACTTCTTCGATGTTACGTATCCAATTTTTGATATTATCAAAGCTTTTCTCACTTGTGATATCATATACAAGCATAATACCCTAAATAAACACAACAATTCATAAATCAAACACTTCCTTATTACTATTTTGTTTTTGTCCATACCATCGCTCCTCGATAATAAGCTGTTGTAATAGTTTTAAATCGTTCCTATATGAAGTATATGCATAAATTTCATAAATTACTCAATATATCCCTACTTGTCCTGCAGTATCCCTATAAAAGAAATGAATTTATTATTATTATTATTATTCTATGCATTTATTAACATACCAAATTTGTAATTTGATTTTTCGTCCGTCTAGCTCGATCGTACGAATTTTGAAATCAATCCCTATTAAAAATCAACGCATCAATATCATTTATAGAGTTTATTCTCAATCAGTTTACCAATAGTTGAGATAAATGTTGTGCTAAATGCTGAATCACAGAAACGCAAAAGCACACACGTCTAAATATATATTCTTTTTATATTGCCAAAGAAAACTCAATCTATGAAATGTCAATCCTACCTTTCCAACGCCACTATCACCTAAATGGACATAATTATGAAATCACATGTTTCTATTATACCAAAAGAAAATAAAGTTCACATACCAATTAACAGTAATTTGAATAAATGATCATAGGCTTTAGCCATTTTTAACGTCTGTAATACGAAGTGATTATAAATCAATGTCTATCCATATGACGTTTCACGTTATCTGGAACGAGATAATTGTATTCTTGTTTATAAGAAAATACGAAACCGTTAATAGGGAAGTGAGAAACATAATAGCATTGGAAAAAAAATCCCTCATCGATAATATATTTATTTCTCTGTGAAAATAATCAATCTGTCGTAGAGTAAAGAATTATTATTATGCATGATTTACTTATTTTTTAATAAAATATGTTTTATTTGTGAATCACAGTCGTCATATAAGCATCAAACATTTTATGCTTAGTGGTGGCGTTTAAACCAACGGAAAGAAAAAGAAATTCTATATTTATGTTATCAGCTAGCGTACTCTATTCCCTTTCAGCAGATAATTATTTGGTTCATTTGGCTATTCTAATATATTCAATGATGGTAGAAAAGCTAATAAGAAATTCAAATATAAGCCATTCTGAAATATGATTTAGATTTGCTGAAATGTAGCTGTGCTTCAGATAATAGCTTTATCAAAGCCAATCGGGTTCTGTTGGAAAAAGTAATACTCGTCTTGTTGGATGCATTAACGACAAGTATCGACTTTTCTTTCCTGAGTATATTATCGCTCGATATGTATACAATCGTTCAGTGGTTCTAAACAACAAACATATTTATAAACAAGGAAATAAACAGAAGTCGATGATAGATTCCATAGCTAATATGTTATGGAAATCAATAGATCGAATTTGAATAGACAGTGATAATGCATTATGAAAGTTTATCGATATTTTTCTATACCAAAAATCAGTGCTAAAGTAGATGAGGATTTTAAAGTGATTTATATTACTCGTTATTATTAAGGTGTTATGTAGGTAAAAAAAAGTTCGATAGAATATTGTTAAAAGGACATCTTAATAATTTTTCGTATTCTCATTTCTTTATGTATTAGGGTTAACTTTCGATTTTTCAGTATGGATGCATTACACTGAAAAAAAACAGTTTTCCAGGCTCTTGGCAAGTATTTTGAAATCGCCTAAGGTCCATACGAACTCTTTAAGAAAGTTTTGATTTCTTTACAGATGAAGTTTCGTGTGTTACTTTTTTTCCAGTGTAGGAACAGTATTATACTGCCAATGATTTTATGTCTACGTCTGACTTGAATCATCATGAGCGATTAACTAGGTTATGTAACATATATCTAAAAGCGTCAAGGATAATATCATCCTGGATAAATCTCTAAAGGATGTTTATTTTTGATCAATCATTCGATAGTATGCTGATTATTCTGAGATATACATTCTACTCTTGAGGCTATTAACGATGTGCATGAAAAATACCAAATTCTAGCGAATAAATCATGGTATTGAATCAATTGGTAAGCAACTATATTATAAATAGTTCCAATTTTCAATGTCTTGAAACCGAACAAAACAAATCCTGCTTCGCTATATAGATGTCCACGTTCATACTTGTTGCTCACTCGATGGGTATACTTTTCGCAATCCTATTTCTAAAGCCATTTTTTGGAGAATTCGATTTTCAAGATTTTGTACGTACTTGCTAAGGATTGACTAAAGATATATGAATGCATCACATATTACTTTCTCCGTATCAACACATAATATATTGCTTTGCTGACGTATATATTTTTCTCTATTGTCTGGTTCATGTCAATCTAATGCATCGCATAATAAATTTGTCCTTTTCTGTCATAGATTTCAGTGACTTTCTTCTCGATTGTTGTCATTCAATATAGATACACGTAAATGCATCTTCTCCTCTGTAAGTGCTCTCTGCTCTGTTGTTCTACGTTAATAAATTGATTGTTTTACACATTATATTTAAAAATCGATTAATTGAAATATTTTGAGGAATGACAACACAATTCTGTCATTAATTTTATTTGACAAACAAGTTACTGCAAGTCCAACAGGAGATTTCACGTTTCTTCAATGGGAAAAAGCATAATCATTAGCGACATCTTTTGATGTTGAATTTCATCATAACATCTTCTACGATTGACAAATCGTTCTTCTCCGTACATTTTCTTCTTCTTCTTCTTCTGTTTGTTATCGTTTCTTACATTTAATTTTTCTTGATCAACAAACAATAAGAAACGATTGGAAAAAATCTATTGAATTAATATTATATACTTTAAATCGTCTTATTTTTTATTCTACAGAAAATATTCATTATTAAATTAATAATCTATTCAGATTCTACTTGTATTCTCCTAAATAATTTTACATGGATTTTTCGCCTGCATTTAGTGATGTTCATTCACATCAAGTCTGTTGTTCATTAATCTTGATTTTTGTTTTCTATTTCTAAACACATCTTTATTTAGAGTGATTTACATTCATCCCCAATGTCTTTACCACCGTCAGCAACACCACGCAGTGTTGCACCAAAAGAAGAGTCATATACAGTAAACATGGATACATTAACACATCAATATCCACCATTGAGTTCGAGAATAACAACAAACATGGGTCCACCACCGTCTGTTTCATCCTATCATCCAAATTCCGTTGCACCATCAACACCATTTTCAGCAGCAACACCATATACGCCACGGCCAGCTGATGTTTCGCATTTACAACCAAGTTTACAGTAAATAAAAAGAATCTATTGAATTCTTTTCTCCTATGAATATAAATCTATTTTAGAAATATTGTATCAACAGTTAACCTTGGTTGTCCATTAGATTTAAAACGTATTGCATTACAAGCTCGTAATGCTGAATATAATCCAAAACGTTTCGCTGCTGTCATTATGCGTATTCGAAATCCACGTACAACAGCATTAATATTTGGTTCAGGAAAAATGGTTTGTACTGGCGCTAAAAGTGAAGAAGACTCATTACAAGCTGCACGACGATATGCTCGAGTCATACAAAAACTTGGTTTTCCTGTATGATGCTTATTTTAAGATGTTGTTGCTATAAAAAAACAAAATTTTTATTTTTAGGCTAAATTTCGAGATTTTAAAATTCAAAATATGGTTGGCAGCGTTGATGTTAAATTTCCTATTCGATTGGAAGCACTTGTATTAAAACATTATCAATTTTGCAGGTATTATCCTATGCAAATAATGTTTTGCACAAAGTATTCATTCATTTTTCGGTCACGTGAAAGTCATCCGAAAGTTTTCGCTCTATCCACATATAGATTTTGTTTTCACGAAATATGATGGTGGGAAACTTTAGCAGAATTAATTTCTCTAGAATACGGTATTGACAAATATCTACTAGTAAAAGTATAAGTTTCATTTTTGGTAAACTGTTTTGCATTTCATAGGTTTCATACTATTTCAAATTGTTTGCTCCATCGAACGTAAAGATTGTTCTCTTGTATTTATATAAAAAATCGTTGTACACGTTGGAAGATGCCGTAGAAGATTAGCTTTTTGTAGTATAGAAGAAATTCTCTCCGTTAATCGAAGATTGTCTGTAAATTTTTCCTTTATTCCGAGATCGAGAATAACTTGTTGCCGAAAAATGAATGAACATTTGGTAGGCAGATTTACGTATTCAATGTTCTATATAAGCAAATCTTTGTATTCAACTTTAGTTATGAACCAGAATTATTTCCTGGTTTAATCTATCGAATGATGCAACCAAAAATTGTATTACTCATTTTTGTTTCTGGCAAAGTCGTATTAACTGGTATGAGGCAACAACGAATTTTCTTTTTGAATTATGTTGAAAGTTGTTTTTCTCTTGATATTTTCTAGGAGCAAAAGTTCGACGAGAAATTCATGAAGCATTTGAACGTATTTATCCAATACTCAAAGGCTTTCGCAAATAAATTGTTTGTGTGTTGTATAATAATAGCTACGGTGATTTATGTATGTGTGTGTGTACAGAGCTTTCTCTTCATTGCCTGTTTCTTAGTATGCTATATAAATGTGTGACGACACCATGCAGATTCTGCTTGTCGGCATGTTGTTTTCTTTTTTTATTGATGTTAATAAGGTTAAAGCAAGAGAAGACATAACTAGATTCGAATTGAATGTTTACTGAACAGACTTCTAAATATATTACTGCAATTTAAAAAAAAACACTATTTTAATTGCTGCAAAATCCAAGGAAATCAAGCAAGAATTCAATAACTCAGATATTCAATTTTTAATAGTTTAATTTTATTTCTTCATACGAATTGATTGTTCGTTGTGTTAATTTTTGAAGAAAAAAAGAACGCTACATTAACAAGTGTCTAGCTATAAAATATTCGACGAAATTAATCATTTTTCAAAAACCTATATTTGGCACATGAACTGTTAGTGTTGCATGAGAAAAATATCTTTTCATGTGTAACATGTATCTATAGAATAGATTTTCATTTGGATTATCTTCTATGTTTTTAACACATCGTTTTAAGAATATAATCTCTAGGAAGTACAGTTAGATAGAAAATGTATTGCATCAACTTTTTGCGTTTGAAATTTCTACACGTCTACATTTCATATAGTAGTTTCTTCATTTTTTTCTTTCTTCTGTTCTGACACACCAATTGCTTGTGTGTGGTGTAATAGTTGCGATACAATTGGGCAATTTCATATACTATAAAAGCAACGTGCAAACAGTACACAACATCGTTAGAATAAAAAATAATAAAGCGTCGCTTCAGGTAAGAATTTTTTTTTTGCGTCAGAAGATTTAAGAATGTTTACCTTGATCATATAGATTCGATACTCAGTTCGTTTGTATTTAACTGAGCCAATTACTTTTTACAAATAAAAAGTAAAATATAAAATTAATGTGTGTTATTCATTAAACGTAATATGTTTTCTTTTAGTGGTACGTAGTCGTGGAACCGCTCGTGGACGGGGTCGTGGTCGAGGTCGAGGCAGTGCTCGAGGTACTAGCCGAGGCAGTGCACGAGGTACTAGCCGAGGCAGAGGGCGTGGTGCAGCTCGTGGTGGACGTCGGGGAGGTAGTCGAACAGGTTACCAACGACGCTCAAATGCTGATCAACAGCAAGCAACTCCAATTGTTGACCTTGATATCAACAATGATCCAAAACCATTTTTTGTCAATGCAAGTGTAACATTAGATCAACATATTCAAGCACAGACAAGCAATTTGCCACGCTATTTAGCTACACTATTTTCACTTGATTCGAATAGTGTTGAAATAGGCCAAAAAGCTAAAGCTTGTGCACTAGCTGCTGCCTGGTGTCGTCATGACCATAAATTAGCCAATAATCTCTTGAGACATCGGCGTTTATTTACTCTAACTGAAGTTCTCAAAGCAGTAACCATGCTAGATGCTGCTCGGCAAATTCGTGTTTATGAAAAAAAACTGAAACGTCTTGAATTGAGCAAAACAAAAACAAAAGCGGTTAAATTAGGAAAAATAAAAAATAACATTGATAATTTAAATAAACTTAAACCAACAAGTGGTTCAGCTAGTGGTGCTGTTGCACGACATATTCAACGTTGGACAAAAACATTGACGAAGCAAGAATTAGAATACTTTGCTTTACATATGCCAACGGAACCATGGAAAAAACTGGCTGATATTGTCCATTTTCATCCAGAAAAGGATTTTCCTGAATTACCATGGTTTCTACCATTCTGTTTTGGTTCACCAGCACCAGCTGAAACTATGGTTGCACGTTGTCGAGATATAACAAATGAAAATGTGAATGATTTATTAAAAGAATTTTCTATTCCATATTCACATTTGAAACAATTTAAAGAGCATTTAAATGAAGCATCGAAAGCTAAAATTGCTGCAAAAGAAGATAAACTCGATACGATTCTATGGTATTATGAAGATCTTCAATGTTCAGCTGTTGATGAAATTATCAGTGAACGATTACGTGAGGGCGAACAAATTACTTTACCTTATGGTAAATTAATGGAACGTCTTTTACTTTGTCGAATGTTACGAGATGGTATATCGTCAACTGCAGGACGATATGGACGCCGCAGTGAAACTCCAGCTGCTTCCAATCAACCATTACATCCGGATAAAGCAAAATTTTATCCAGACCTACTGCCAGCAGCACAAGCTCAACTTGAGAAAATCAAACTACCATTAGAATCCCCCGTAGCTGTTATTGGTGATGCGTCAGGTTCAATGGAAGTTGCTATTCGTACGGCAACTATTCTTTCGTCACTATTGACGGCAATTTGTTCCGCTAAACTTAACTTCTTCAATGATAAAGTATTCGAAGCAGCTTTTGTCCCGAAAACTCTTGAAGATGTTCTCTCATTAGCGCTTGTAACAAAAGCTGATGGATCAACAGCAAATGCTGCTGGCCTTGTACCATATTATGATGCTAAAGAAGTCATCAAAACATTTGTTATGGTTACAGACGAAGAAGAAAATGCTAATGGTACGATAGCTGACGGCTCATCAATGCGATTTTTCGAACTATTTATGAAATATCGTGCTGAAGTTTATCCAGCTAAGCTTGTATTTATTTCTTTTCTTTCTCATCAGCATGCTCAAGGTGAAATGTATTCCCAATTTCAAAATGCAAACGTACCGGATGTTCTTCAAGTAAGGATATCAAATGAAATATGAACTGTTATTTTTATTGAATTATTTTCTTCTGTTTTGTTTTTAGTTTAAATTCAATCGTGAACGCCCTGATCTAACCAAAATCGATAATTTACTTGGTGTTTTATCAACAGGTTCTTCAGCTTCATTTGATACTAATCTCGAACCATTACAAGCAGAATTTCAACAAAATGGTATTGAAGCTGTCATAACACGATTAATTGAAAAACAAGATGAAAATTCTATGGCAATGGATATTGATATGGGTAAAACAACAGCTGGAAATTAAATTTTCATCATGCTTTTTTTTTTATAATGAAACCTGCAAATAAAGTTTAAAAAATAGTTTTTGACGCATGAAAAGATATTTTTATAGCGATACTTTAAATCATGAGTAGAAATTATGATAATTTGTTAGGCATCTTAATTTTAAAAGAATATCAATGTCATAGAGCTTGATGGATGTTTTGGTAATAGAATATCAATATCTGATATCGTATAAATCGGTAGGAATGCATACTTTCAATATTTATCTTTTAAATATTAGGAACCTATTAGACACGAATCAAATCAGATAATCTACTAAAATGAAATCCATTTCCTGTAGATTACTTTTTTTCGTGGATTTATATCTCTAAAACAAAACGTGAAAAATGATTTCGGGTACATTCTAATTGCGACATCTTTTCGTGATCAAACTCTTCCGATACTACTACCGTGTGGTAAATTCCAGTTTCGCCGACGATTATTTTCGCCGAATAAAAATCTTGACCGAAAAATATCGAATCAAATTTGATCCATTCTAGATATAGAATTTTATCCTAACTAACTACTTTAATAGTGACTTGATTAATTAACCCCATCTGACTTGGTAACCAAGTCAATTATATCTGTTGCCCTGTTTAAACAGATCCCAACAGGTGTAGATGTGAGTGTGGGTATGTGCGTGGGTTATCAACTCAGATGGTTACCAAGTCAGATGGGGTTAATTAATCAAGTCCCTATTAAAGTAGTTAGCTAGGATAAAGTTCTATATCTATGTAGAATGGATCAAATTTGATTCGATATTTTTCGGTCAAGATTTTTATTCGGCGAAGTTGTACTAATTCCTACCGTGTGACACATGAGTCTGACACATTTTAAATTATCGTGTAGAAGCTTGCGTACTCGGAATTCGATGGCTACCGAGAGGCTCAAAATCGGCACAGAACGAGCGAAAAAATGTATATTAAGTTTGATGTTTACCTATGTTTTGTGCTGTATCTCATAGATTGACGTTTGAAGTAGGGAAGACAAACAATGTTATAGACATGAAACGAAGAGGGAAACTTTTCTGCGCGATTATCATAATGGTGCATTTTGCTTCTTTAATGTAATTTATCTTCTCTATGCATTGTCAATTATTAGGGACACAATTATTCAAAGAATGAGAGCAGATAAGATCGTTTTGTGCCTCCCCCCCCCCATATTTGAATTATTTCTATCAGATATAAATTAAGGACCGTTCCCGATCACTTTTTCTAATTTTATTCTCAGAAGAAAGGTATTGACGATTTTGTTTTGTGTGGAGTATACTCCACACACATCATCAAAGCACAAAATTTGTTTTTTTCACGAACTAATGTCAGAGGTAATCGTAGGTTTCAAGGCATCGATTATGAATATTACAATTAGTGGATACAACAGCTCTCAGGTCTAAGTTCAGATCAAATGAGCTCTGAAAATTCTTCTATTCCTTATAATGTCCGAATCACTCCCCATGCCCTATTTTTCATTGTTCAAGCCCTTATAGAATAACTACACAATACAATTTAGTGAAAAATATTTATAGCTAACTCACAAATATGAGTTCTCCATTATTTTGAACATTTTTTGCACCGGAAACGTAACTTACGGTCGAAATTTGACGTCGAGTCTGAAACTGGTATACTTCGAAAACGGTCAATTTTTGTCACCAAACTCCATGTTTTTATCTAAATCGTTCCTTTCTTCGGCGTTAAAGGTTCAGATTCGCCAAATACGCGATATTTTGGGTTAGAAAACATATTTCCTACTAAATTTTGTCTCGTACACTGTAAACTAGAAAATTACTTGTAGAATTTAATCAAGGATATTCCAGGAATGCCTATATGAATTCACCGATGAATTTTTAAATTCTTGAAAATAAGATATTCAAAAGATAAAAAAATATGAACTTCGATTTTCTAATTGGAAAATCGAGAGTGAATTCATATAGGCATTCCTAGAATTTCGGATTCGATATAACAATTGGAATATATTCTAAAAACTAGAAAGTCGAAATTGATTTTCTCGTCATCATGAAGCATTTCATCCTTGATGATGGAAATAAAATCAAATGCAACATAAACAAATATATCAAAATGAAATAAAATTATAAATGAAATAACATACCATATGAAAAAATAAAATAGCAAGCATTGCAGACTAAAACAAAAATAAAAAACCAAACAAAAAATATAACAGAATTGAAGCTACAATAAAATAGAAACTAAAATAGATCAATAATTAACATAAAATAAGAACTAAAAAAGGAAAAGGAAAAAGGAAATAAAAACCAAAATAAAATGAAAAAAAGAGATTTGACAACTCCTAATAGCGAGTTCAAGAAAATAATGAATGTTTAAGATTATACCTACTGACTTATATACTAAGACAGGACAATGACTAAGCGACGGTCTTGGTTTCGACAATCTTGGAAGAAATAGAATCAATTTTTTCGTTTTTAAAAATTCTCAATCGATTTTCTATTAAATCAGAACTTATTTTCAATTGGCCTGAAATCTATGGGGGATTTTCCACTTTACAGAAAATGGTTTCTTTTGAAATTCAAATTGAATTTCTATAAATGGGAAAATCAAGCATTTTCAATTTGTTCAAAATTCAATGAATAAATCATAAAGCTTTAAAAATGCTTCAGCTTATTTGAGATCGATTTTCCAATTTATAGAATTTGGAAACAAATTACAGTGTATAACAGTGGCAGTAATACGGCTGTATGTTTTATAGAATACGATTATATTACGCCAGCTTTACGAGGTTTTACGGCTGATATACGGTGTCCATGTATAATCGTAATACTGTCCCTATTGGAACGCCTTAATTCGGCTTAAAACGGCCGTTTTACGACGGAATACGATACAAAAACGACAGTTTACGGTAATGTTACGCCGGTTTACGGTGGTCCGCTTTGATCGACCTGAGTTCCCAGCACCCACACTTGCTATGTTGTGTTTATGTGTAGACCCGCGTATGTTCGCCTTTCATCACACCCACACATCCACACCCACGAAAGTCTAAGGGAGTTTTTTTACTATTTATTTTCATGATTTCAAACGAATGTAGGATTAAAAATATTAAATCAGCCAAAATGTTTTTTTAATTTTATGTTTTAATTTAAATGATACCAAATATCTTTTTCAATTCAATGATTAATTTCCAATCTTTTTCTTGCATTTCTTCACGAAAATAAGCTTTAAGTATATCGATTGATTCTCGAGATACCTAAATGAAGCATATCTTCAACTCAAATTCAATATATCAATTCTATTCGCTTACTTTACTCATTAAAATATCATCTTTATCAAAATGTCGACCATACGCTTTTGGTGCTTCACCTGGCATTGATACAATTTTGATGCATACTTCCGAGCCTTTTCGTGCTATATCTAATGGTTTACCATTCTTTTGAATACCATCAATACGACCAAGATTGATGCCCTTAATTTTATTTTGATTTTTCATTAAAAATTAGTCAACTAAATAAATGTAATACATACATTGTTCGATGGAACACATATGGGCGTACCGTTTGTAATGAAACCATCTTCAACTAGTACACCACAAATAATCGGATCACGTGCATTAAATATATATTGTGGCAAAATCTTCAATTTGCATGGAAACACAGCAAGATGTCGAAAATTCTCTTTATCATCGTTTTTCTTATTCTTTCGATAGGCAAGAAACATATCGCATAAACGATATATTTCATCATTTTGAAATATTTTCACTCCTGAATAAATCACAAAAGAAAAACACACGTTTACTTAATTTTTTACGTCATAAAGAAAATCATGGTCAACATACCAATCTTATTAGCATATTCTTGAGCTTCTTTTTCAATTTGTACATCAAATGCTAGAATAGTTGCCATCCTACATAAACAAATGCGTTTAAACGAAATACAAAAAGAATTAGTATTCGCTTTTGTTGACTTACAATACATCTTTTTCAAGTTGAGCTGATGCACGCATAACATCTATCCGATGGACAGGTCCAATGTTAATTCCAGAATACTAGAATAAAGATTCCATATTCTTTTTTTATTATATTAAATAAAATAAAAACAAATTACGGGAATATTCGATGTTTTTAAAAGTTGAAGAAGACCTTCTAATGAACCTAATGTTGACGCTTGAACATAAACACCTTTGTCTTCTAATTGAATTGAATTGAGTGCTGTTTTAAGTATTATGCCAATTTCATTTTTATAAAAGTCGGTTTCATCTGTTTGTCGAGCAACAAATAATGGTAAACCAGCCATAGCCTTTTCTAAACCTCTAGCAACAATTTTAATACCACGGGCTCCTTTTATTGTGTCCTCATTTTGATATTGATTCTAAATTATTATGCAAATCAAAATAATGATAGATCAATTATTCGAAATGATTTACTGTAGTGCGTAGCTCTTGATTAGATGCAGGTATGAGTAGTCTACGAATTTGAGTGACTATCGGACCTTCTTGACCCGCAATAACAATTTTATCACCAACAGATAAGCATCCGTTGACAAGAGCTATATCGATGGTCATACCGAAACCATCAATGGCTTTTACCTGTAATAAAGTCAAGAATAATATTTCATCCTTTTGATAGAGAGATGTGATTCAAATTTAAGTAGACAAGAAAAAGAAATATGTGAAAGAGCAACGTATTCATTATATCAATCAGGAAAAATCATGAATATGAGATAAAAAGAAAAACAACTAACCTCCATAACAGTTGCTTGTAATTCATTGGTGTATGATATACGTCTTGACAACGTTGTTTGAGATTTTTCAATAATCAATGCAATTAATGAGCCCATTCCATCACCAGAGCGTGCTGATGTTGGTACCATTGAATAATATTCATTTGGATCTGGATTTTCATAGTAAAGTGCTACATTCAGATTCTTAAAAAGAAAAAATATTCATATATTGCATCGTAGAATTCTTTCTTTCAATGCTTCTTTACTTGTTCTGCAAATTGACAAATAATAGTCTTATAACATTTTTCAAAATGATTTTGTGTTATTTGTTGTTGCTCTTGAAGAACAAGTTCAATACTTTTTTTGTTATTGCTTTTCCAGTCATATAATAGATCAACCTAAAAGATGTTTATGAAAATTATTTATGCTCGTTTGTTTGAATAAACGATGAAAAAATTTGTCAAAATGACCATTTACTTTTGAATTCAAACAATATATACTTTCATAGGATGTCATGCCTCCAAGATATTGCTACAAAAATATATTACGTTAACAATATTCTGAAAAATGAACGATGTGTTTTGGTCTCTAAATTAACTAGAGATACTATTTTCCGAAGTTTTTTAGTGAAAAATTTACGCAGACAAAAAGCCTTCCAGAAAACATTTTTACTATTCAAGTTTTCAGATCTTTTTTTAGGATTGTGACCGCAACTACGACCATTAAATCTGTTCGTGTATGTAACTGTGGTAGAAGACATGGTTTTATCATAATGTTGCATTAGGGTCAGAATAGTCACCAGATCTTAAATATGCACAGTCAATTGTTTTCTGCAAATCTTTTCTATTTAAATTTTCAAATCTACATCGTTCGCATAGTTTTTAACTCGTATGTCATTTTTTCATAGGAAGTATTTTTTGTTCTGATGACTAATATACCTTGTTAAGAGCAATAATAAATGGTGTTTGTCGTTCAAGTAGTAAATGAATTGATTCAATAGTTTGAGGTGCTACACCATGCATTATATCAACAACAAGAATAGCCAAATCACAAAGAGATGAACCGCGTGATCGTAAGCTTTTAAATATTTCATGTCCAGGTGTATCAATAATCAGAAGGCCGGGTACAATAAAATCACCTTCTCGAGATATCATTTCCCGACACATTTCAGTTCGTCTATAGATAGTTTCTGATGAAACATTAGTTGCACCGATTTGTTGAGTTATACCACCAGCTTCGTTTTCTTGAACGTGTGTTTGTCGTAAATTATCTAAAATGGTTGTTTTTCCAGCATCAACATGACCCAAAACACAGATAACAGGTGCTCGGAGTACTTCAGTTGAGCGTTGATTTTCGCATAGTTCATGATGATGTTCAAGGCGACGGCGTAAACGTTCCAGAACTGATAAAGATTGATCAATTTCGTTCTCTGTTTTATCTATTGGTTTTATTTCCGAACTATGTGACTGCATCGCTAAATCTGTATTGCTTTGTAATTGATGATCATTATTATTTTCTACATAACAAAAATATTTTTATGAATTATTCAAATCTAATTTAATTATGATTTCAATTAATTTTCGCCTTTTAAAAAAATAAGAAAAATAAAATGAATACCTCGAGACGTTGCCAAACTCGATCGATTCTCATAAGAAATATTTGTATTGTCACAATTTTGTTCCCATTCATCCGTTGATCTGTCGTTTTGCTAATATAAAGTTTCACAACTATATAAAATTTATTTCAACGCATAAAATCTTACTTCAACAACCAATGGTTTATCCTGTGATTCAATCAGTACTGCATCGGATTGCGTTGAAGTATTCGATACTAAGGAAAATTCAAAAACGAATCCAAAACATCAAAAATAAATTAATAGAAACTTACATATTTTAGTTTTTGTTGGTTGATTAGCATAGATTATTTTCTTTTTAACTGATTCACCATTATTTGATATTGTCGGCGGAGAAACTTCGTGTGCCAGTGTTTGAACACCAGCAGTTTCACTCTGAATCTGCGCAAGTTGCAATTTATCTCGTTGTTTTCTTGTTGGATTTACAGCCTTGTGTCTCAATTGAGCCGTCTTGTTTTCTGTGTGTTTCATTTTTTCCTGATTCTCTCTTTCGGAGCGCAATTTTTCTTGCTCTAATCGTTCGCGTTCTTCTTCTAAACGCTGCTTTTCTTTCGCTTTTTCTTCAGTTCTTTTTTCAGCTGCCTTTCGAACTTCTTGAGCTTCCATTATTAGTTTCAACTAAAAGATCAAATGCATTAATGATTAAACAATAGCTCAGATTTTATCTACCATTTTAGCACTAGGACCATGCTTCTTTTTATTCGGTTGACTTGAAGATGTGCTCTTTTTATTACCAACAATAGATAGCTTATCTAAATCAATCAAAAGAAAATTGAAATTTTCCAAAGAAATATTTAATTTAACCTGTATGAGTCTCATTACTGTTCATAATCACGGCCGTTTCAGAAACAGATTGACTTTGCTAAAAGAAAAGCAAACTCTAGAAAAACGAAATATTCGAGAAATTGAATTATTACAGGTATCTTTTTATTTGGTTTTTTATCATTATTTTCGTTTTCTGTTATTGATGAAATCAATGATATTTCATTCGATATTATGACAGGTTCATCATTGTTATGAGTTTCAATCTTTGAGTTTGAATTATCAGAAACTATAATGAATTGAGACCTGATGTTGTTTTCCTGATCATCATCAATATTGATATCAGTAGCAACATCTGTTGCTCTAAATTAAGAGAATTAGCAAAATAAAAATGTTTAAGTATATCTATTTTTACTTGGATACGGATTGTTTTGCTTGTTCTTTGGACATTGGTAAGTAGCATGTGAGTATACTTTAATTTCAATAAAAAGTCGTACATACTACAACAAAAAATTGTAAGATAAACTTATAGCTTAAGAAACTGAATATATATATATGCAGGTAACGAAGAAAATTTCGTAAGTTTTTTCCTTCTGCGTGAATGCTCGAATATGAGTCATGCGAACAAATATTTCAAAATTACAAGGATTTTTTATATTATCATTATATTTTTGTTAGCATCGAATGCGTCAAGTCGTTTAGGGAATCGAGTTTAGTTGCTTTTATTTAAGATGGCTGCCTATACAAATTTTTGTAAACAAATGGTTAATTTTTAGTTGTTTAGGTGTCGTTAAAATCTTCTCTACTAGATATACGAGTCCATGATTCAAGTCGGCCAATTGCTTTTGAGATCTGTTTAGATTGAGAAAAATTGCTATAAGATCATAGGAATGTCAAGAGTACACATACGAGATTCATAGCAGAGACGTGTATCACGCCTGGAAAATGAGATATGGACAGTGGTGATACTCGTCAACGTCCCGATTCTAAATTCCGCACCTGTGTAAGTAATACGCATCTCTAATGTACACGTATAGTCGTTATTCATTGATGCAAAGACAACAACATGTATTGATATAAATCTTAAAAGTATCATTAAGTTGTATTATTTATTTAGAAACATGCATCCTGCAGACATTCTTCTGGAAAATTTAAAAACAAAGGCAAAAAATACGTCACATGTATAGAACAACAAAAAAAACTAAGCGTGACAAAGAATACTCAATTTGATCAGTATGCACTAATTAGGCAAGTTCTGATTGTTAGACGCTTTGTGTTACGTTTCTTTCCGATCTATCACCAGATCCATGAATATGCTTGAAGTATAATCATATATGATTTTCACCATATGTACGTTTTAGTCAAATGAGTTTCGTAGTGTATTATAAACACATTTAACTGTAAAACGTGGCAGTAAAGCAACAATAATAATAAAAATATTTGCGAACCAAAATCGAGCTTGTGCAAAAGTTCTGTATGATACTTGATATGGACTTTCATATGGAATACACGCAACACATACAGCATCAAATATAAGCGTAAAAACAAGAAAAATAATAAAACTTAACATTGAAGAGGCCAAGACTGACCAATCGATGCGTCTTGTTTGAATTAGAACATGTAATAAAGAAACTACAACCATACTGAATACGAGTGAAAAGCCAAATGATAATCGATCAATATCTGATTGATGTCGATAAGAATAATGGCTTATGAAGAAAATAATAGAACTCTGCCAAACGGCATCGAAAAAATTCACCCAGAAAGACGATAATTGATATGGTTTCCCTTGCAGTGTATATTGATAAAGTTTAGGTTCACTTAAAGCTCGTTCAGCTGATATATGTTCATCAAATAGAGCAGCAGCGCACTAAAAATAAACCTTGAAATTTATTGATCGATTTAAAAAAAAGTCTTACCTGAGGAAGCACAGTAAATAAACTTGTGTAGAGAATGAGATCTAGATAAATATTCTTTTTAAATAAACTTTCTTCAAATATGAATTAAAATAATCTTTGAAAAAGTCCTATTAGTGATCTATCTAGAACTTTTGAATACCTAACTTCTTTTGAAAGAAAATAACTACTCAGTTGTAAAAGATTATTACATAGCTACTTGCATAAGATAATGCAAACGAATGAAAATGGTTTCTTTCTTTAGACAATTAAAGCACTTCAGTCAATAATAGATCTTTGTTTTTTTGATAGATTTCTAAAATAAGATCTTTATCTAGTATTGAAGTATAAATGTAGAAAATCTGAATCCCATCTACTATCCCTACAGACTATACCAAACAGCTTCGTAACACTCGTACTTTTATTTCGATACTACACAGATAGTGGTATCGGTTAAAGACTGTGTTTAAGTTAAATCTTTATTGCCATGCTAAACAATCAAATCATAAATGTGCCCAACGTTTTATAGAACTTTTACAAAATTATTGTTCGAGGTTCTCATGAAAACTTTACAAAAACACCAGTTTTTAATTGAACTGATTCATTCTCTAATTTCTACGATCTTGAAATCTACATAACAGCATAGTCACTTTAGTTATTTGAGAATAAGAACATGAAAGACATCGATAGTTTTACATTTCACGAATTTCTGAAAGCTCTATCAGAGCAAAGCTAGTACAACAAACTGAAAGGCTCGTCTTAACGATGATTTATAGAGGATCATGATATAACAGTTAAAGATGTAATGAAATAATCATAGTGAAAAACGAGGGATTCATATCTAAAAGAAAAATCTTTTGTATTGTTTCTCTCAATCTTAATAGAATCTATTCAAAAACCGAGTAGAACTCATGTGAATAGCGATTCTTCATTTAGTTGCATTTCACTGTAAACCGTAGTTAGTTTTAAAAACAACTTACAAAATGAATGAAGAGAAACAGCACCGGAGAATCCATTGAAAATTTGGTGATAAAAAATCACGAAGACATATTGACAATTATGCATAAATGTGTATAGAATTAATTCACTTGTGCGTGTAAAACACCAAGCACCATGAACAAGTAATAGATAAAGAAGGCATTCAAAACGATCAACAGCAAAATCGCCAGCAGAAACTGCTTGTGATCCTTCACGGCCATAAACAGCTACACCACAATGAGACTCACGGATCATTCCAACATCATTGGCACCGTCACCGATTGCTAATATACGTTCTTTGAATACTGACTTAGCAAGTGTAACAAGTTCACGTTTTTGTGTTGGTGAAACTCGACAAAAAATAACTGATTGACATTGACCAGCAACTCGAATAAATTGTTCGGGTCTATGTCGCAGGATGCAACCTTATTAAATTTGAACAAAAAAACAAACAAACATGACTGAATAACAATTAAATATTTTTGAAAATTTTTACCTAAATCATCACCTGTCACTACTAGACATACAGGTAGTGTTTGTGCAGCAATAACTTCACTCATTCGAGTAATTGTCTCACTAGTACGTATTTCATCAATTATGTATTGAGATTGAGTACCTAAATATAAAATCATCCGCATTTCAAATCACTCAAACACAATTTAAATGCACCTAATCGTTGTTCTGTTTCTATTAATTGTGAACCATAATAGATCATATGAGTATATTGATTTAATTGTTGTTTCGTCGTTTCAGAAAAATCCCATGTTGCCATTGTTGCTGCAATGCTCTATAAAGAATCAAATCGAATTAAATAACTAAATGAATCGATTTGAAATTTACTTGAGATACTGGATTACTATCAACAGTCGATGTTTGTGGCATATTAACTAATGATGCGGCTTGTGCTGTGCTCAATGCTGTTGCTTGTTTATCACCAGTTAAAAGCCAAATTTTAATTCCAGCACATCGTAGTGTTGCAATAGCTTTTGGTACTCCTTCTTGCAGTTTATCTTCTACAGCTGTTAATCCTGCTAATATTAAGTCGACTTCAATAGCTGATGCTGCTGCTGCAACTGCTTCTTCACGATTATCCAATGCATTGGCAGCAGTTTGATATCGTTGAAACCAATTTTGAAAGTCCTCTAGTTCTATTTCTCTAAAGGCAACCAGTAAAGAACGAAAGCCTTGCTCAGCGAACCCTATACTATGTTGTTCAGTTGTCATTTTCACATACATTTCGTTATATTCACTTAAATTTGGCCATATAGATGTTTCAGCTCCTTTGATATACAAATATATTTTATTGTTAGTACGAACAATAATTGACATTCGTTTTCGACTTGAATCAAAAGGTAATAAACATAAAATTTCATATTCAACATCTTCTTTTCGTGTATCAGTTGAATCAATATACCGAACAACAACAGTTTGAGCAGAACGTGATATCATTCGAACACCAAAATCTGATGCTGCTTGACAAAGTACAAGATCATCAGCATTATCTCCTTCGTATTTTGGGCTATAATCAAGATTGTGTATCAAATCTGGATGTTCATCAACAATAAATGATGTATTACAGATTGCAAGTGTTGTTAGAAAATGATAAGTTAATGCGTCATGCTTCTCTGGCAATTCAGAACTAAAAATGAAAAACAGAAATCAATATTTGAATTCATACCTAATTGAAATAATTCATTTTCTCCATCACTAAAAGTTCTGTTTTTTTTAAATAATAAAATGTACTAGTAGAAAACTAACATAAGGTTAAACTTCTTTTTTGTTTGATTACTTAAAGTGGTTATTGAAGTATCTGAAATTCTTAGATACCATCTGTAGTTTTGTGAAACTAAGAAAAACAAATGATTCATTTATATAGTAGTTCTTTCTAGATGAATAGTACGGAGTATAATTTTTATTCAAAACAGAGAATACTTTGAAATGACTAGAAATAAATAGTTGAGTGTTGAGAAAGTTTTCAGAACACAAAAGCCATGTGAAAAAAACTTTAATTAGAGGGAAATAGCTGAGAACATCAAATACTTAAGAGAAATATGATAACACAAATCATACCGATTTGAATATTGTAAACCACCAATAGATACTGTTTTGAAGATAAGTTCATTCTGTGTTAATGTACCAGTTTTATCAGAAAAAATATAGCCGATTTGACCAAGATCTTCATTAATTGTAAAAGTTCGACAACTAATTGGGTGTCCATGTTTTAAATGTTTATCTTGTCCTATTTTATACATCTGTAGAACACGTACGATATCTAATGAAACATATAATGCTATAGGAACCATCACTTGAAATAATATTACAAAACGTATAGCCGATACAAAAAAGTGACCAGTATAATTCTTCAATGGGTCATTCACTATGAATGGTACAAAAATCCATTGTTGACCAAATGAACGTTCCCAATTTAATGACAGACCAGCGCCAAGTAAACATAAAAATGCTAAAACCACACTTGAAAACAATACATCACGATTAACATATCGCTCGATACGCGAATGTTTACACGACGTTTTTTTTGATGCTCTAATCACTTTTGTTTGATTACCTAAAGTATCGGCATCAAAAAGAATAATAATAATAATAATAATACAATTAATATGAATTTATTTACCAGCGTATACAACAATACCATCGACATATTCAGTTATTCGAAGCACACATCCTCGTAAGAGAACATTATTATTATCACATGAATAAGTATCGGTTCCTGAAGCTAATGTTATTCTACCATGAAACTGATAGATATCTTCATTTGGTGGATCACATTGTAATTCGAAACTTGTTTCTTCGGGTTTAGAAATGTTTAAGAAACAAGATGCAATACTTTTTTGTTTCAAATTTGTTTCACCATCAATAGCAGCCGTATCCAAATAACAAGTACTTTCACATGATGTCGAAGAAATTAGAACAATATCAGCTGGTACTGCTTGATCAGCACGTACTCGAATAATATTTCCAACCGACACATCTTGCCATTGGCATTGGACAAAAGTTCGCGATGTTCTATAGATGATAACAAAAAACAAAAACGTAAATATCGATTGCAAGATCTGTGTATCATTTAAAGTTTAGAATACTATTAATGAACGTCAGGAAAAAACGAATATGTAATCAATATTATCTTCTGACAATATTCATCCGAGGTCTTTGAATAAATCTATTTTAAGCAAGATCTTGTTGGAACATGACAATCTCTTCTAACAGCGTGTACACATCGTCTTTTCCCGTTGATCTAGGCTATTTGTGTGTATGTATCTAGAAGTCATAATATTAATTGAATCAACGTTAAACACTATTATTGGTGAAAGATCATGAATTTTTATGTATACTTGGGTGGGATGATTATAGAAAGTATTTGAAAATTTACAACAAAAGACCAAAGTGTGCTGAAACTACAAAAATTATTTAAGGCAATAGTATTGATTAGAAATTTTCCATTGTAACTAACAAAATTTGATTGAAAAACTTCATAAATCGATATATAATCTAACTGAAAGACTCAAATTTAAAAAAAAAACATGTATCCATATATAGGTGAAAATAAACAATAAACTGTTCGAACTACTAGTACGAACAATCGAACTTCATAGAAAAATCCTATCTTCTATTTAATTAAAAGGAAGTGTTGTTTTCTAATTTACAGTGAACTCACTTATCGTAGACTTCAGTTAGTTGTTTATTAATATGTACATCACTACGCCAGCGCTTTAAATCTTCAACAAGATCTTTTACAGCAGTTATAACCAAAATAACTGTCAAAGGTAAAAATGCAACCTAAAAAGAATACAGTTTTACAATGAATTCAAAGTATTTCATTTACAGTTTTTGCAATTGCATTTATCACTGGTATCCAATTGAGAACAATTAATATAGCAAAATAAATATTTGCTACACGATGAAATTGTTCAAAGAGATTCTTTGGTATAAATGTTAGAATATTATAACGTGTTGTTCGAATACGATTTGACAGTTTCTTGTTTTTTGTGCGATTTTTTATCTTAATCCATAAAGATGATTCGATATGAATCGAAGGATCATAATTAACATGATAGTTGTTAGTGTCTTCTTGAACTGGCTGTGAATCGATTGATTTTAATTCAGTGTCACTTTTAGAACTATTTAATGATCGATGAAATGATGGTACGACAACAAAATTACCCATATAGAATAATTATATATGTTCAAATAAACGATAAATGTTTTCTACGGAATATACAAACGACTCAATGGCTCATATTAATGCTGTTATGAATCATCAAATTAATTATGCACTGCCTTCATACAGCTAGAAAACCTAAAACGAAAAGTCAAACAAGTAATTGTACTCATATTAAAAATAAATCATATCAACTAGTTTTCTGTTCCGCATCGCCAGTAATGCTTACGTAAGGTGTTTTTTTTCCTACTATTCTGTTTATACTAGTTTGATTTGAAATGAATTGTATCGTAACAATTATTATGACGTAACTTAAATACTTCTTTTTTGTGTAAAATTTAAAATAAAAAAAAATATATAGCAACAAAAACAGATGTGTTTTTTGGACGATTGCATCAAATTAATATTTTCTAGAAATGTCTCACAATATAACCTGTCGTCAATGATATATATATTTATGAAGAATGATGTTTTGCAAATATTCACCTGTGGAGGATACTCTTTTTCTCCTGTATTCTGCACTTCTCTTTTTTTCTGACTATCAACGCAGTTAAGGCCCATATAAAAAAACGCAGATTATTTCTTTTTCTTTTTCTACTTCTTTCTATTATTAATTATGCACACATGATATAAAAAATAAGTTAAACAAAGAGTGCATTCGTAACCAATAATCTATTGAAATTTTCGTTCTAACTACGTAAACATATCGATGACTTGTGAGCACGATGCAAATCTACATTTAAATGTCAGACGACATTTACGTGTTATGATAGCAAGAAAAGAAATGTTTTTCACGATTCGCATATCAGTAATAATTATTTTTTTTATCATTGACTGTTAAGTGATCCCATTTAGAGCGTTTTAATGTCATAAAAAAAACTCTTTCATTTTTATTTATATTTCAACAAATCTGAATTAGTAGAAAAAATTCTGTTCGACGTTCACAATCTTGTAGTATACGAATATATTCCCGTTAATTTCAAATAGATACTACAAATTGTATATCCAAATTAAATATAATGATATTTTTTCTGTTCATAAGTACAACCATCGACTAAACTTCGGGATTATTGGATGATATTCTTTCTTCATTTTCACATACATTCCATCCTATTTTGAATTTGATGACTACGAGATATCGACAGAAGTAGATACAAAAACGTTAGCTCAAATAAAATCTTCATGACAGTTCGTTCAAACTCAAACATTCATATTCATTGTCAAGAAATGATAATAAGATGTAAACATTGAAAAGAACGACAAAAGGTTATATTAAGTATTGCATAAAGCAAAAAAAACAATAAAATACAGAAACAGAAAATAATGACGAGTTATGTGAAACTTAATGCATTTGAAATTAAATTCAAATTTGCCTCTTGACTTGGCCTCACGAAGGAAAATATGAACACATAAATTTGATAAATGACTAGAAAAGAAAAGACATTGAAAAAAAAACGAGTCCTTAATTGAAATACTTTTTATATTTTACGTTAAGTAATAGAATTAATGAAATAAACGTTGCGGAACAGTTGAGATACTTTAGAAAATGTGATGAAAATATTGAAAATTTTTAAGATGCTAATAACGGTTCACGATAAAAGAAAAATTCGAGTCAAATTTTTCAAAAAAAGGACGTCTTTTTTTTTTAACTTACTTCTATTAGAAAGAATTTCGTTTCAATTGTTTGATGAATTCGTTATTGCATCTATGCATGATTCAATGAATCTACTTAAACCTTCATCGTACGAATTCAAACCAATTTGATGTAGGTGTGGTCATTGAAATCGTAGTATTAGAAAAAAAGACGTAATAATCCTTCTTTGATCTAGTGTAGATGACACTGATAATCTGTCTTTTTTCAAGCAGTTATTTCTAACAGATACTGAACTGATATATTAGTACAATGTAGACTATAGAATAGTTTTGATAATTCATTGAATGGTCCGGCTCAGCATTCAATTTTAGCTTCGAATTGAGACATCCACATCTTTTTTATCGCATCCTCGATTTCTAAGTTTCTAATCAGTCAAATATTTGATGCTTAGTTTCGAATTGTTGAGGCGATAGTTTCCCCGAAAGGAATTGAAATGTAATGAAAATGATTTTGTCAAATACTTGTTTAATTGTCAACGTCTATCAAAAAACTGACAACACTAGATTTGGATACGTAAATTACGATAAATATTCAGCAAACAACTAAACTACCGATGAATTATTAGGTCTCGATGGAAATCAACTCTTCAATTCATAAAAGGATCATACTTTGAAGATTGTAATTTTAGCAAAACTATCATTCAAGAGAAATATTTTTCGTACGTCTCTAACTGAAGAAAAGAGCACCCAGAAGTATCCAGTATCATATAGTATAAAGTCAACTGTTGAAAATTCATTTTCAGCTCTTATTTATGATAAGTTCATACTAAATATTAGTTAAAACAATAATGACCTTGATCAAATATACGCAAATCTCAAGTATAAATCATTCTAGTAAGGTAATTGAATTTAAAAGGTTAGTTCGTCATCATTTTTTGAGCTAAGCTACAAGAGATCGAAATTATACTTACCATTCAAACTTTTTCGCTCGCTAGGCTTACTTCTACTGAAGTACTCCAAATTATTGTTTCTAAATGTTGTTTGTTTTGTATGGCTGGGCCTTCAATAGGGTTTGCGTGGTTGTAATGCGCCTGAGGAATAAGTAGACTTTTTTCCGACCGATTTCCCCTTGTTAAGTATTAGAAATTTTCATACATATTGCGGGAACCGAACGCGTTCGAGGAATCGAAAGTAGGGTCTGAAAAAAGTACAATGATTTTATACTCGAAATCAAATAATTTCCTAGATACTTCAAACTGGTGAAGAACGAACAAAAAAAGATATGATCCATATTGTCGGTTACTCCTCGCATCCATCGTATGATGTTTCTAAGTCTGGTTCGATATAATTTAGACGTGTTATTAAAGTTGCCATAATTGTTTTTTTATTGACGTCGTTTCATGAATAAAAATATGAAAGCATAGTAAATGTTCGATCAATATCGATGAGAAGAGTAATATTTTTGGATCAATAATTTCTTTTTCGCTCTTTCATTTAGCGATCAGCTCAAATCACTTTCAATTAGTTAGCCCACGAAGTGAAAAAATTACTTACAGGTACTAAAGCAAGATTTTATTCTGCAGTAAACATCAATATCCCTTCATAGTGCATAATTTAACTTATATATATTTTTTATATCAGTTATGTATCATTTTCTAAATGTGGAACTTTGATGAGCATTACGTTAAATTCAAATTTCGCTATGATGAAACGTTTGCTTAGCTCGCAAGCAAGTTTATGAACAACTATTGTTTTTTTTGAATGAGAATTGTTGATGGCTGCTATCAAATAAATGGATAGATATTAAATTTCGAGACTAACCGTCTTCCAGCAACCAATCCGTACGCCGACAGCTTTGTAAAGTTGCATATCGAAATAAGATCACCACGAAATAGTTGATAGGTAAAGCAAAATGTAGATTTCGAGACTGTTTTTCATTCGCTGGGAAAATATATAGACTATTCATTTGATCAGATATACACTATTACAAATATGATTAAACCGTGGTTCTGTTATTAAACATTCCAACTATCTCATGCAAAAAGGAACCTCTATGATCTGATATCAATTCATAAAGTTCGATAGATCTCGACTATCTCATCAGAACTTTGACAAGAACAGGCATTAACATATTCGTCAAGTTAATTTCACCACCTTCATGATATCCCAATAGTAATTATTCTTCGTGGCTATCAATATTTATTTTAGAAATTGTGATATCTTTTTTCTAGCAAATATACTTTATGTACAAGTCAACATACCTATTTTTTTACTTACATCACTCTATTATATATCAGATCTAATGAATGAATGTTGACTAGTATCCGACATACGTAAATCGCGACGATATTACACTTACGAAATCTAACCAAAATACTATCATATTTTGCATTAAAAACACAAGTTCCTTGAAGAAGAACCTCTCAATATTCTACGTGTAGATCTCGTGAATTAGATCACATGAGACTCTGAAAGAAAATTTCAACCATATTTTAGTGGCTTTTCTTTAACATAATACATAAAGAATGATTTTCAATTACTGACGAACTTTTTCCTATCAATCGAATTAAAGAAGGTATTTCAGAAATCATAGAACAGTTTGACAAATATATATTCTCTTTCTATATTTCCAAGTCACTTTTTTGAGTAAATACAAAACTATTGAAAAAAAAGCACAGGCATCCTTGGATTCCTTGGATATATCATCATTATTATGATTGGATACAATTTAAATCAATTGCATTGAAGATGATAAGTCTTTTTTATTGAAAATAATATTGGAAAAAATTTCGAAGGATTTATTTCAGAGAAAATAAAATACATAAAAGAATCAAATATTTCATATATATTTATGATAAAAAGATAATGAGTAATGGTTTATGTTTAACCAATCAGAAACATTTATTTATTTTGTTTATTTTTCTTTACTATAACTTGAAAAAATCAGTTTATTCGTCTTTCGAACTGTATCGATGCATTCTTTTTTTTAAATATCATTATGATCTTTTAGATATAACCGCCTATCTCAACAATGACATCCTCAAAAAAAGTTGAAAAACCAGAAGGTGCTTACGTTAAAAAGGGCCGGTACGATAAGATTAGAAAATTGATTTTCATTGTTAAATCTATGTTTTTTCTTCTGTTATTAGTCTCTATGTGAAAGCAGTATTCACTGGTTTTCGACGTGGTAAACGTAATCAACATGAAAACACTGCTTTACTCAAACTTGATGGGGTCAACAACCGACGTGAAACAAACTTTTATTTGGGTAAACGTTGTGCCTACGTATACAAGGCTAAAAAGTAAATAGAATAATTTATTTCTAAAGTTCAAAATTATTTCATTTATTGTTTTTAGTAAAACCCTAGTACCCGGTCAAAAACGTTTGAATCGTGTTCGTATCATGTGGGGCAAAGTAACACGAGCTCATGGTAAAAGTGGTGGTGTACGTGCTAAATTTCGTCGTAACTTACCACCAAAAGCTATTGGACGACGAATTCGTGTGGTAAATAGTTCGATTTAGTTTAAGTGTTCTATGAAAATACGTATGTATTTTTTTCTTTTACAGATGCTTTATCCTTCACGCATATAAATAACTATGCGATAGTCGACCGACATTGTCTCCATCGATCGATTCAAGAAAACTTATTGTTTTGTTTAACATCATTAACAATTGTTTTGAATGGAGAAGAATAAATAAGATTTAAAAAAAATAAAATATATCATCATTTTGTTTATCTTGTGTCTTATCAATATCAAAATATGCTTTCCGAGTTATTCGATACGATTGAAATTCATTTCGTTGTATTCATAGACTTGATTTTGATCAAGATGATATTCTTATGAACAAAAGAAGTTATCTCTAGAATTCTTGAGTTAACTGAAATGCAATCTTTCACATGATGTTTACTTTCATTTCGAAGAATCTCCTACTATTTCATACACTTGACTATATCGATATAAAGTCATAGGAAAGTAAAAATATGAATCGTATGTATGCTACTTTTCAAGTCAGTGTTTAATTATATATTTTGTACGATGAAAAAAATTAAATAGTCGCTACAAACATCGATCATCTAGGCCTAGTAAATTTTCAGTTTGTTTTTTATGAATTCAACGTGAGTTCCAGCATTCTCATATTGTATGCTCTCTAAAAATCGAAGATACAAGGTGTAAAAGAAATTAATCAAGTACTCATTCAGTCGAATGTATATTTATATGGTCTTGATGTTTATATGTATTGTAAATGCATTGGTATCGTGAATTAAAGAATATAAAATCAGCCAAGTGTATTGTATGCGCATAAACATGTTCACAAAGAACATAGAGAAAGATAATATATCGTGAAACATTCTATGCTGATATGATTGAAGTAAAGTTCCATACATCGCTTTTACACGAATATGAAAACCAGTTATGCATTATTCATGAAATCTCTTTGATAATTTTCAGAAGTGCCTTTTCGTCTCTATATGATAATAAACATGTTTTCGAGTATCAACTCATTAATTCAACAGTATTTATTGCTCTAAAACACTATCATTTAGATACTACACCAACGGGGGAATACGGATTCCATTACTCCTAGAATTCACGAAGATTCGCTATTTTCTCATTGTCATTTCATCTATATTTAACAAACTGGAGTTGAATGGCAAGTCTTTAAAATATACTTCTCATAAGTTAGAATTATTCTGTCAATAATTTTATTTTACTCTTTTCAATCTAACTGGTATACAATGCAATAATTTTTTGCAAAACATTGAAGTCAAGCTTACATTCTCTATATAGCCGAATAATTACTCTTTTTTTTTGCTCAGTCCCAAAATTCTCATGTAATTTATCATTGTCATATTTTTTGAGTGTTTTTTTTTCACTTTCACAGCATCGAAAAAAAAACAACTGCCTGCTATTAACTAATCATATTCTATCATCTTCTTTAACTCTATCATCATGTCATTGCATCATAATGGCACAATTATATTGTATTTTTTTTTAGATTCAATTAAGAGTTTTATTTTTATGTTTTCGTGATCTTATTTTTTTGTTTCTACACAATGGCTACCATTGCGAAGCGAAAGTATTACACAAATAATGACGTTATATTGCTACAAATATTTTAGTTCTTTCATGACGTTACTTGGCACATGACGTAACAACACTGCAATGTGCACTGAGAAAGGACGAAAATATTCTCAATATAAAATATCACAACTTGTTTCTCTATCTCTTATTTTATTTCTTTGGACATCATCAAAAACACAACCATGTCTAAATCTTTGGTAGAGTCGAAAACAAACGATGAACTTGGTTACCGCGTTTTATTTATTGTCGATGCAACGGGATCTATGGGAGCCTTCTTAAACTCTCTCACGGTTTCGCTTTATCAAGTTGCATCCATCATGAAACTTACGACACAAAAAAAATCAGAAATTGGAATTCTATGTAAGTAATATTGATTGGAACGATGCAATTGTTGAATTTTTCAGCAGATATTTCTCAAATGAAAGTAACTAACAAGAAGGAAGAGGAAATAATTATGTTCATAATTTTGTAAATACTTTAACAATGATATTGGTCTTGTAGGGTATCGTGATTATGATCAACCTATTGACAAAGTAACGAATTTCTCAGGTTATACTACTGATATGAACAAAATCTCCACATTTCTGGCAGATTTGCAACCAATAGGTGGAGGAGATACTCCAGAAGCTACAAAAACAGCATTAAATAAAGTATTGGACATGAATTTAGTCGATTCTAATACAATAGTATTAATATATGCTGATGCACCACCACATCATCCGACAACGCAAGGATCTTCTTGGGCACTTGAACAAATAAATGTCAAGGAAAAAGATTGGATTCAATTATGCAAGCTATACCAAAAAACTGGATGCAAAGTATTTTCAATTATAAATAGCATGCAATTTCAAACGTCGTCATTTTACATCTTATTGAGTCAATATACACAAGGCAGAACATTTTGTTTGACATCAACCGACGTGAAAACTATTTCAAAAGCTACTATTAATTTATTCTTAAGGTAAAGATGATTTTTACTAACATAAACTTTTTATTATTTTATTTCATTCCATAAAGTCTGTGCAATGCAGAATACGAGTCAACTGATTTACCTCGATGGTTAAATTTTATCAATATCAATGTAGCTGATTTTGATAATGAAGATGATGCGCAGTATGAAGATCAAGCGTACTTACCTAGTACAAAATCGAAAAAACTAGCGTCAATCAATATGGAAGCGTTCAGTGCTGAAGCAATAAAATTTATGGAAGTCGATTTACGATTTATGTTAGATAAATTCGAAAAAGATGATGAATATAAATCTGTTGTCTATCAAATATTAGAATCTTTAATGACACCACAACATATTCTTGCAGTAACTCACAACAGTATATTGGGTTTATTGTGGCGTTTAGTTTGTAAACAAAAAAAAGATACACGTAGAGATCAGCTAATATTGACATTATCACAAACATTGAATACGATGGGTTTAAATCCAGCATTAGCAGCTGATACTGCTATAGTTCGAGCCTGGGTCGAAGAAAGTTATAATGCAAGAGAAGAAATTATAAATAGAATTGCTGAAATTACAGAACAAGTACCAGCTATAGTATTAACATTAGATAAGAAAATGACTAGAACTGAATTATTGGAAATAACAAGATCATGCAATGCAGAAGTGTTACGCAAAGTTATGTCTTTATTAAATCATCTGACAGTCGTTACAAATAAATCAAATTTATCAAAAAATTATCTACCATTAAAGATGAATGATGGTGAAATATTTGAATTATTGCCACATCTTTTAGCAGATGGTCTCAAATTTTCATTACGTCCAGCTGCACTTATGGCTATGTTATGTGTATTGTCAAAGAATGGTATCTTACAAGAACGAGCTGTACGTTTTTTAACTAGTATAAAAGGCAAATGGCTTGATTTAGCATCTCCAGAAAATAATGCTTATGCATTCAGTAAAATTTGTGTTAAATTACCAGAATTTTTTACTGACGAAGAAAATTTATTCTTTCAAAAACTATATGTTATAGGTGGATTAAAATTAAATGCTGCTACACGTATAACTATTCAGAAACCATTCAGTCCAAAAGTTAATGAAATTCATTATGATACGAAAATTCAGTGTACAACATGTAATATTGTTCGATCGACTACATTATTTTCTGATGTTGGTACAAGTTGTTGTGCACTATGTTTGCCACAATATAACCTTAAATATACACCTGAACCATGCGCCGAAGATAAATCACATTTAGTAGAATGTGGAACATGTAACTGTTTATATGCAATAGTTCAATATGCTCAATTATATGCAAGACCGAAATGTTTCTATTGTCGTGAGTTGTTACAAACAACACCATATCGCCGTTGTACTGCGTGTCAGAATAAATATGTTCATTTTGATTCAACTGAACTAGTAACAAATAATGGAGAAGAAAAAACATTTATTTGCGCCGAATGTAAACATTCTACGACTAATCAAAGCATAATTGATATTCAAGTGCCAATCAGTACATTAATTGATGAAAATAAAACACAAATATACAATTATTTAAATATCAAGATTAAAGATGATATCAATATTTTTTCTGCAGAATGGTCATTATTTAAATTAAAAGATAAAATGGAGTTAGAATCTAGAGAAGATGCCAAATTATTACCAGTGCCACTAACTCATAATAAGAAACCAGTCTTAAATTATACACTTGTCTTTGATCAGATTCAAGCATGGATACAAAGTGGTAAATCCGAACATGTCACTTGTTATATCTGTTGTAATGATGTACCACGTAATAGAATCGGTGATACATGTGGTAATAAATCATGTCATGCTGATGCGTGTATTGAATGTTTAACAAGCTGGTATGAAGCTGTTAAACCTGGTGGTATTGTGTTAGTTTCACATTTATCGTGTCCATTCTGTAAACAGGCACCACTTGGGAAAATTCTTAAAAAATATAATAAACAAGCATGTACTATTTTACGACCAGATAAGAAAAATGATATTGATGAACATTGGTATTATGGTTGGTGTCTTGATTGTTATAAAGTTCAAAAGGCACAAGAAAAAATCTGCAGCGGAAATGATGACATTCCTGAATTAACAAATTTTGTTTGCGATGATTGTGCTGAAGTTCGGAAAATTTCTAAAAGTGCTAACAGTAAATTTTGTCCAGGTATAAACGAAAATACGAAAGAAATATGTGGCATAGCCATAAGTAAGAATGGTGGTTGTAATCATATAACGTGTACTGCATGTAATTCACATTGGTGTTGGTTATGTGTGAAAATATATGGCGATTCTATTTATGAACATTTGACAGAAGTACACGGTAATTATGGTTTAGATGATAATGAGAATGAATATTAGGCAAACAAAGAATAAAACATAAATATATATTGCCATTTTCGTTAATCATTGATTAGTCCTTGATTTTCTTTCAAACTAATTCAAGAAATCAATAAACTCTACTAACTAATTAAACTCCGATACTTTCATTATAAATAAAGGAGTGCATGTAAAACACATGGGCATTTTGTTCATTGCTTAAGAGAATTTTTTCACTTTTCAGACATGAATAATTTTATTTCATTTGAAGTTTTTAGTGTTTCGTACGTTGTGAAATCTCCTCGATCAATCGAAATACTATAAAAATCTATTTAACAATCTTTTGATCTCGAAATATTGAGTGTGAATCTAACATTTCTTTATTCACAAGTCCAACTATTCTTTTTCTATTTTCGTTTGACGATTCAAATCTTATATAATTGTATATTGAGTTACATACATTTATTTCGTTTTTCGTGTTGGCAAAGTTGTTAGTCAGATAACTATTGATTTCAGTGTTAACTTAGCATTGACAAACTACAAATAGTGATACGTTGTTCCTATAATTGTTACCTGAAGTTTTTCAGTATATCGGCAAAATAATAATTGAGAACTTTGGATAATGAATATAAATAAAGAGTTGTAATAATAAAGTTAACTAACAGTACGTAGGTGTGAGTGGGCTGTTAAGCTTTGCATTGATAAGAACAAACTGTTTGAAAAATAGAATTGACAGTTTTCTAGATCATAAAAGTAGTGGACACAATACAAGTACCGTGTCTTCTCATACAAGTGAAGTATATAAAGATGAAAATATTTAATAGCATTACTTGTATAATTTCGACATTGACTCCGATGAAAATCGTTCTATATCACTCTATCACTACTACTTTGCGGAGTTCTCTATTGAATACTGCGCGTTCGAATTTAACTCCATGAAAACCAATTTCCTTAGCACATCTAACCGCATACATACGTGTATCTTTCAAATGCTATTTGAATCATTTAAACGATTATGACTTTGCTTCGCCGTTACACATGCAAAAACGACAAAATCTTGAAGGTATTTTTAGATAAACAAACCAAAAGAGAATAACTCTTAAGATGCAAAAAAATTGAATCATAGCTTATTAACTGTTTTTCTCATAGAACAGCCTATTATAACATAAAGTAATTCTTCAAATATCTTATTCCAGCATAATGCGCAACATGCTGCAATATGAATAGTGCCTAATTCATTAGCGAGCAAGTCAAAACAAGGCTGCGCGGAATAATAAACTTGTCTGGATGTATCAAAAGTCGAAGGGACTACGAGAGCGAAGAAAAACAAGCCATACTTTTGTCATTATGGTAAAACCTACTATACATAAAACTCTGTAAGCGTTGTATTAAATGTACGATATACATACATCTATAATTTCTGTTCAACGCAGGAATGCAACTTCTGTAAAAACGTCTACACTCAGGGTAATAATAATTAAAGAAGAAAAAGTAAACTAACCAAGAAATTGCACAACTGTTATAAATGTTACGGTAGTTAGTTTTCTATGAAAAATGTATTTTAAATTCAAGTTTCTTTTTGCATAAAATAAGTCAGACTGAAATGATAGGTTATCAATATGTTAGATCTTTATAATGAACCGTACAAAGAAAAAATTATATATAAAATTTGAATTCTACAAGGAAAAAGTAAAAATATCAATTAAAAATACTCTACATATATATTATTCACCATGAAGAAAACAACGAAAAAATAAGCTTGCATAAAATTAACTCTTTTGGCTTTAATCACGTATTATGAGATAAGATTAATTTGCTGTTTGCTGATATCGATACATTTAAAGGGGCAGTGTCTGAATGATTTAATTCATCTATCAATGAACGTTGCTGAACTTGTCGTCTCGAATCATTGGTTTGAATAGCTGTGCCATCAACTATGCAATTACAAAAAGCTTCATGTAGACTTAATACAATAGTTGATAAACATACCTGGCTCGTTCCGATCATGAAGACATCGTCGTTCCAACATTCTAATGAGATCAGTATTCGTTATATTTATGGCGTCCATTAAACAATCAAGATAATTTAATACTTGGGCTTGCTGCAAACATAAATTTTCATTTGATACATGAAAATAATGAAAGATATTACTTCGCCACGACTTGCTTTGACTTCGTTTTCAAGAGTTCCTATTTTCTGTAATATGATCTCTTGTGGTGAAGTGCTAAATATATTTAAAAACATGTATAAGAAAACGTTATTTGTTTTTGAAAAATCTATACTCACCTATTTTTATCTCCAATAGCACTCTTTGTCCTAGGTTGTCTGTCAGGTTTCGAAAAATTATGGTAAACTTCATCGCCAAGTGCATCTTCAGTTGTTTCGATGTTAGCAGCGAATTTTTCATCAACCGTAATTTCTATTTGAAGTAAAAAATGAAACTTTAAATACATTAAAATGAGCGATTTTAGTCACCATATTTAGTTCGCATTATGTGTTGTTCATATATTGCTTTCAGGCATGCTGATCGGATGCAACGTGATAACGTATATAATATGAATCGCCAAAGATATGAAAGAAGAATAAATGGAGCTGGTAACAAGGGTCGATATAGATATTCACAAATTAATTGGTACCGTTGGAAATTCCAAATACGATCTGTATCTTCTTGAACTCGATTGTACGTATTACTAGGAACAAATAAAAGAGAAGAATGTGACCACTAGAGAAAGCTATTCGATGTTTAGAATATCATATAGACAGCAGTGAACGATGGGACCAATTGATCGGGAAATGCTCACATTTTCAGCAGAAATGGACCACCCCACATAAAGTCATACGTTTTAAAGAGAAATGGAAAAGAAAGAATCTATATGCAAATATATATATAGATAAATGTCATAGGTCCACAAGAAATTGAAGTTATCCTGGTCTAACTTCCATTTATAAATATATGCGATATTTATCAGTTTGATTTCTTTAGATCACTTAAGTTCTTTTAGCCTCTTGAATCCCTTTTTAGATATAAAGTGATCAAAACGGACTAAAAGAACTAAAGGTAGTAGAAGGACTAAAGGGAGTAATAGGGCTAAAGGGATCTAAAGGATAATGAGGGTTTATATTTGTAAAGAAAAGTTAGACCACGATAACTTTAATTTCTTATGGACCCATCACAGAAAAAGCTTTTCAGTACAGCCCCTCTCGGGCTAAAATGTGGAACTCGCATATTACAAATAACTTAGAAACTGACCACATAGAGCGTTTTATTTTTTTTTAATAGAATGAGCTTCATAGTTCTTTTAGTAACACGATGGAGAAAAAAAATAAAAATACCTGAATAAGTGAAAACGCAGAATTTCTTTCATTTAAATAACTTTTAAATGCTTCTGAAATTTTCTAACTAGAAAAACGCCTACAGATAAGTTACAGTTCGATAAGGTTTGATTTTTTGAAGCTGTTGGTATACAAGAATATTGATAAGAAATATGAAATATTTCTTTTTTTGATCTTGAAGTAAAATAAATATGAAATCAATTTTACACTAAAACATTGTTTTACTATTAGTAAATAGAATATACCCAGGTGAATGCATCCGATACCGAATCCGATCGGATCTTATAAAATCCGACGAGTCGACAAAGTCCCATGGGATTCCGGGTTGAGGAACTACTAACGGATCCCTAGTGTTGGAATCTGGTGAACATCCGACCAAATCCAACAACAGAATTCGATAGGAATTTCAGGAGTCGGATTTTAACGAGGTTCCTAAAGAAACCTATCGGGCCTTGGATGGTTCCTTCTAGAATCGGTCGGATTCCAACACTAGGGACCCGTGAGTGGATTCTCAACCCGGATTTGTTCAGAATCTTGCAGGAACCGATCGAATTCGGTTGGATCCAGCTGTGGAATTGTTCGTCCTGAGATTCTGTCGAAGAAAACAAAATTTGAACCGAGTAATATTTCTTCACAAACCCTGGATAAAACAGCGCAACATGTAAAAAATAAAAAATACACACCATCCTTAACTTGAACCAAACAGAAGCTTCTTTAATAGCACTCGTAACCATAATATATGCATAAAAAAGTCTGCAAATGAAGGAATTTTCTTATTCCATAAAACTGTATTACTCCACTGACAGCTAATACTACAATCATGACAATCACCAACTGCATATTTTTCGTTTCAAGACACCCGTACCCTCCGCAATTATTCCCCACTTACCCGCGATGTTTCTAAAGAACACCTCCATTTTCACTTACAAAACTACAATCTCAGCATAAGATTAACTGTTGGATTCCACATATGACTATCAGAACAGCTTTTCACCATGCAACACGATATACAGTAGAGACTGTTCCTGATATACGGTGATATAGCTTATTCATTTCACGTTAAAAATAAACCATTTCTCCTTGAGAAATTCCCTTTATAGTGAAAAAAAATAAATCTTTCCCGTAGATAATTTGTCGATTTCTCTTTGACTTTGTTAGGGGTAAAGTATTTCTGCTGGTTATTGAACCATTTCACGATTTTACGGGATGTTGTTCACCCCTCTTTCTGTGTACGAGTTCATAAAGCTACAATCAAACTAATAGTATTTCTATAGTTTGCGTTAAATTTACCTGAACATTGCAATAAGTAAATTAACCAAAATTATGCTAACTATTACTATAAAAATAGCAAGTAAAATAAATACAGCATAACCATTTGCTTTGTAATTATCTTAATATAGAATAGTTTATCATATCGAAACAATAAAAAAAATCTTTTCTTGTTCTCTTACTTTCATTAGTTTGTAATGCATGTAATTCTTCAAAGATTTGCCAGTAAACCAGATTTATAATTTCACGTGGTAAATTCCAAGTAAGTTCTTTTGTACCATAAATAAGACTGTAAGATGATACACCAAATCCCAATATAAATACAGTTAACATAACCATGAAAAATTGCAAATCATGTACCTTAAAATAATTTTTAGGAAAATGGAAAATATCTAAACAGAATTCTAATTGAATCAGTTACCAGTTCACCAATCATTACAAGTTTTGGACCAATACGTTTAATAACTGAAACTATATTTAATGTAAGTATGAACCAAAGTCCTAAATCAACTGCAAAAACAATGCGCGCTGCATAAAAACAGCCGGCTGATGGAATAAATCGAAGAGTAAAACCAACATAAAAAAGGACGACAGCTAAAATAGTTAGTCTATTCCAAAATAAGTCAAAATAAATTATCATTTTATTATGAACTGATTGTGTTTTTGCAGAGCAGAACTGTGAAAACAAAATAAATTGTGAACACCGAAAAACAAAATAAGTTGATCTTCAAATTACTTGTCGAAATATTTCACAAAGTACTGTTGAATTCCAAAGAAGAAGTATGTATTCTTTAAAGGCTAGATGATCATGTTTTTGAAGGCCATATGGAACTGTTGCATTAATTTCATTTTCATCATCGTAAATTGATTGAGTTACATTAACATTTTCATCAGTATCCGACTTAATGTCGTAAAGAGGAAAAAAATCACATAGTATTAGATAAGAGAAGATTAATAAAAACACCATATGACAATACTAAAACAAGAACGGGAAGATTTTCGTATAGAAACTTACTAATCAAAGCATGAACGTATGAAAATAAGTACAATGATGCACCAATCGTTGATAATTATAGATAGATTGTTTTATTCAATCTATTCTAGTAAGTACATTTTCATCATATTTTAACTGAAGCCTTCAAAAATAAATGTAACTATGAAGAATTATGTGTGTTAGAATGCTTTATTATGCGCATATAGTTATTCGCTGTGCGTCCAGCTATCTGCCAATCACAATGAGGTAGGGAAATGGCACTAGTCATCATCTATGTTCTCTCGTCCTTCTTGTTAAACTATAATTACTCATCTCGTGATTGAAAGTAAGTTTAAGTTTATCATTGCTCTTGCATTGTTCGATATTCGACTCGATATGTTGTGTCTGACGAACAAGAGATAAGACGAATATGAATATCAAAGCGAAACTTCTTTGTAAATTTATGTTGAAGCCAAGTACCAGTATAGGTTTGATCAATTTTTAGTCATTAATGCTTTGAGATGCTCGAAATAGTTCAATGGACTTTCATTTTTATCTTGAAACAGTAAACAAAGCTCAGTACGAATGTGTTGCACTTGAGTCAATGCATGGTAGTGTTCAGAAAAACAGGTTTTGAAGTCAATTCAGTTTTTAATATGATTGGACGATTTTAGCAATTGACTGAGCCAAGTAAGAGCTTCGTCAGATAATGATTGTTGTCTGCACTGAAGAAATATCTAATCATTGCATCCGATGAGAGATGACATATGAAGTTCGAAATGATTGAAAATTTGTAAAGGACATTCGCGAGCCAAATTCTTTAACATTGGCAGAGTTTTATTGAAGTTCATGATAAAATGAGAAGACAGTAGTGAATGAGGTAAGAATGATGGCCTTGGCAATTTTTAGAGTGTAGAAGTATGGCCATTGGAATTGATATCAATAAATAATGGATTCAAATTTCAATAGTTTACGATGAGTAAAATGAGTTGGAGAAAGTTGAAACATCAAAAGATGTGTATCATGCGATTTAAGTGAGGGAAACACGAGTGCTAGTTCAGGTATCATTGTGTAGTGAAAAGTGATTTAAAAAAGTAATCGCTTGATGAAGTTGAATTAGGGGTGTCAATTTACAGTTTATTTTATTTTAATTTAACTTCGCGAAAAGTTAATTTAATTTAATTTTAAATTAAATTCTATCAAGTTAAATCTTTAAATAAATTGTTTGAATGGATACACATCCATGCTATGAGGAAAATACGGGACTTTAACAGTAGTAAATGCTAAATGAGAGGAGAACCTAATATTTTAGGTTAATATTTGTTCATAATAGTCAAAATTTCTCTACAGATTATGCAGGATTCGTGATCTTTCTTCTTCAAAATACCGGGATATTCATAAAAATATATTTAATAGCACAATTCGTAAAAGAATGACTAACTTTAACTTTAGAAAACAGGAAACATACTCAAATTTGACTTTAAATAGTAGCATTCAAGTCAAAAACTATGTTTATCTACTAGTTTTCAAAATTTAATTAATTTCAATTTCAAAAAATTCAATCTCAATTTAGTTAAATTTAAATGTGATACGCCTAAGTTGAGCGAGGGTTCACTAATGAGATTTCTTTTGTAGTGAATGATACAAGAAAAAAAGGAATGAATAGTATGTAACAAAGACGGAAACAGGGTTACATTTGAAATAGGCACCAAAACAAATAAGAAATCAATTACGATATGAACACATGTGCATAATAAGAAGAAAGAGAGAACATAGATGATGACGAGTTTTGTCACAGGATGTGCTAACTATATCTCTACATTTCAAGGCTCCTGTAAAATTAGATTTTACCAAAATATTTGCATGAAAAACTTACTAAATTATACAGATATTTAACATATGGAGCACGTATAAATCGTAAAATATTGCCAAAATATCGACTAACACGAATCTTTGTCCTTGAATGAGAAAATAAAATTTCTAACAAACATGAATAGTGATACGCTGATGATTATCAAATATTTCAAGCGTTAATGCGCAATTAATTGCTAGTCATGCTACAGACAATACAATTCATTAGTAAACGTCTATTGCTGTCTTTAGTTTACTTTTTGAAACAGCCCATATCAATGAAATCAACAGAAACATTATTCACATTTTCAAGATCATGCATAAATCTCAATTGAATATCATCTTTTGGCCTAGAAAAATGATAAGAGAACAAAAATTGAACACGTGCAATTACATAGTAAGCTATAAGTATCAAGGAAACCGAGTAAAATTAGTAGTTATTTACGTAGACAGAAAACCGTCAGCTAAATCATTGCTTTGTAGAAAAGACGAAACAGAAGCAAAAATAAATCCCTATGATACAATTGTTTTCTTGCAATATTGGCACTCATACTTTATATGCTATTCATTAAATATTTAAAACATTGCTATAATTCGTTTGAACAATAATGAAAACTTCTTATTCTGTTCGAGTTAAAATAAATAGATATAAACAATTCAGATTGTAATACCTTTCCAACCACTGTTTTGTTTTTGACAAGTATGATTTACCAAGTGAGCACTAGATATTAAAAACAAAATCAAAAAATAATGCCAACAACAAACACATACGTCTAAATATGTTGTCTGTTCATTTGTTTTAACAAATTCATCATGATACCGAAGAAAGCCACTATACCAAAGCATAAATGTCGAAAAAATGACCTTCGTTTGACTTTCTTGCTGATCAATGTATCCAAACCTACATTGAAATGTTCAATATTTTATCGAAAACTAGAACTTTAAATATTAGTTTACCAAATATCATCGAGTACATCTTGTACTGCTCGATGGGCAATGAATTGTATAGCTTCTGCTTTTACAGCTAATTTTAACCATGTAACATTGCCATAGACTGGTATTTGTCGTATAATTGCTTTTGCACATGCACGCGCATTACCTTGATAAAATCGATCAAGAATTTCTACAGCCAAATTTTCGAATTGATCAGCTAATTGATAATACCGGTTGTCATCGGTTTTTCGAGCAAGATGTCTATAAACTATTACAGCAATTAATACCGTACCTAAGAAAATAGTTTTACATCTATACGCACATATTATAATAAAAATAAATTGGTACATACAAATTTTATTTTTACCACGTGCCCAAAATAACAAACTAATGTCGCCTTGATCTGTTATTACAGACCAGAGGAAAAGTTCTTTGTCAATATCTACAGGACAGTTGGAATGACCTTTTGAGAATTCAATCAAAAAAAAAGAGTAAAAATATGAGTCTTGTATGCTAAAAATTATTCAAAACAACTTTCTAATAAATATATTCTTATTTAGATCATGACTGTGCCAAAGATTTTCACCGGTGTATCTATTTCTATCTCATTCAATTGGATTTATTGTCATAACAAGAGACCTAAAAATCGTTTCAACCATTAACCTTATGGTGAGGTTTTATTGCTTTTTTTACTTAGAATCTGGTATTCTGGAAAAATTGGAATAGAATTTTTCGATCTGTAATTTTGTCTACAAATAAATTTAGTAGCTATGACAAAGAGTACCACTATTCAATCTTTATGTAAGTAAAAAAAATCAATCTTCTCTGAGCTCTCTAAATCGTATTAAGCTTTAGGTTTGAATGAAAGATGTATGCAATCAACCAGTTAAACCTTTAGGGGCTTCTCACATTTTATTTTCCATACAAAAGTAGCCAAGTCGCTTTAGATAATATTTTTGTAATATTTCCGAATAATATAACACGATATTTATAATTAGCTCATTATGTTTTCATGTGAACTAATAATAAAATGCTATGCATTGAAAAAAAACCAACCTTCAGAAAGTAAATCTCCAGCACAGCCAGTAGAAGTTGAATTTTGATATTCTCGGCTTCTTCTAGGTGATGGAGAACAAGCCAATGCAACAAAATGTTCAATAGTTAGCATGGTATCCGAAGAATCTTTTCGTCTACGTAAAGCAACATCAATGTCGAAGAAATCACCGATCAATGGTTGAATGATCTCTTCATAGATTGTTCGTAATGGATCATCATCGCCAACTAAAATATCATGATGCTATCATCATAGTGAGGAGAAAAAAAGAACAAGAATTTATGAATAATTAAAAATATAAATATACTACTTTCATGCTATTGGCATAAAGCAATGCAAGCTTGTTATTGTTTTGAAATAAAGCAGTTAATGGAGTGTACCGATCAAGAAACAATTTAACAAAATCTCCTTGATTTCGATTCAATGCTATTTCAAATAAACTAGTTAATTCTTCATTCTGGTTAAAAGAAAATAGTACAATTGAACTACAAACAGATAAAAATAAATTGCTTAATTTTCTTACTTCCCAATCTTCCTCACGTGTCATAATATGATCCTTTACAATATCAATACGATTCCATTCCAAAGCTAAACAGAATTGTTCGTACTTTCGTTGTTTATCTGTGATGCGCGACTCAGAAGTCGAAATGGCTTAAAAATGAGAAATCTTTTCTTTCTAGAAAAAAGAGCAACCATATGTATAATTTTTTAAATTTACCGTTCAATACAGCTCTTAAAATGGCTATGTCCATATCAGGCTCAACCAAATTTCGTGCATTCAGACGTATAACATTTAAAAGCTTTCTTCGCGTCTTAATGCATTCGTAAATTAATTCGAAATAATCATTTGAATCACTTTCGTGTCGCGTTGATTCATCTGTAGTCGCTGTATTTTCATCGATTTTTTCACCATTACCAATATCACTAATTTCAAAAAATGTTGCTCCTAGTGCTTCTCGAATTTTATCTTTTAATTCATCATCAAATCTTTGAACGCTCGCAGGACTGGATCTAAATCATTAATAAGTATTCATACATCTAGCTATGTGAATCGAGATTGATCTAAACAAATCGGTACCTGTAATCTCGCTCGACCAGATACTGTTCTTATTAATACTGTAATCTTTAACGATCATAGAACAAGCTGAGATTTACGTTAAATTATCAATTGATTTTTATATTGAATGTACTGTAACTACTGAATCTGAGAAAAGTTTTTGCACTAATATCTGACTAATCATGGATGTTGCATTCATTGTTGACATATTTATTTATTTATCTTTGAATAATTATTCTACCAAAACACAGTCTAGTTTTTGGTGATTGCTGATTTTACCATAACCAGAAATCAAGGAGATGACTCACAAACAGATTTTATGCAGTAAGCTGTGATTCAAAGAAGATTGTGTGCTAAACGTATTTTTCATCTTTCCAATAGAATTTCTAAATTTTGATAGTAATGACTGTTTGATTGTTTTTTCTTTTCTTTAACTTGGTTTATTATAATTAAACTGAAATTTATCAATAATTTAAACATATGCTGATAGTTATTAGAATAATCTATCTACAACGTATTTCTCATTCGGACAAAAATGAATTCAAATACTGAAATAACAACACTAGTAAGATGTTTTATACGTGCGGTTCAATTATCAGCATCCAGCAACATAATCGGAACATTATTCAGACTATTAAAATATTGTATTATTGCACTATTGAATAAAGGAGATCTAGTAGAAAGGACTTCATTTCTGAATTTATTCTTTCACGGTCTGCACTTACAGCGACATATGCTGGAAATAAATATATTTTCATTGAATAATCTTTTTCTTGATCTATTTATTGCAGAAGAAATTAACACATAAACGAAATCTATTAGTATAGTAAGTATCTTTTCTCGTCCTATAGTTATATATTTATGTATATGACGATCTAGAAAATTCATAAAGAATTCATCTATCTACAAGTGCAATCTGCAAATTTATAGTTTTCGGAGAGAGTGTTAATTCTTAAATGTATCAAAGTTATCATAATAGACCTTTGCCGATGCTGAGTTCGAAACTTATTTGGATCTAGATAATGAGAATTGCTTTTGAGATTTTTCGGCTAATATTTTCTACGATGCCGTTAGAAGAACTGACACCTACTTGTGTTCTATTCAAGGACTTGAAAAAAACGTTTTCCTTTTGTATTTACTTTAAAAATGATTGGGTGCATTGAATTCTTGCATAATATTTTTCGTAAAGACGTAATGTTTCAGCAAATAAATCACAACAAAGACCTGACCCATCAATAAAAATAACAGGTATGCTATTTCGAACAACAGCATCATAAACTGTACGATAGAGAAATAAAATCAATTTTTATCGATTTTTGTTTCTTGCATAAGTAATATTTCGGACCTGTTCGAACAGTATTTAAATCACCTTCAACAACAAGAAGGACACCCGGCACCAGGTCTATATACAAACAAAAATCATATGTTGTCATTAAATATTTGTTTAAGAAATCAATGAGATTTTAGATGAACCTAATCGTTGTATACTTCATAATATTTTACCTGACAAAGATTGGAATGAATGATCGCTATTTGATGTAGATCGCGGTGCAAGAAGGCCCCCTGAAATAGCTCTCTCAAGGTCATAACGAAATTTTATTACACCACCGTTTTGTTGTTCACTTTCATCGTCAACAAAAATAAATTCAGTATGATTAGGTTCGATAGCTACTTGTCCTGTTTCTTGAGAACATGATTCAACATAACGCACATTTGCTCCGTGAACATTCAATTGGTGACAATCTGATACACAGCCCAAATCAGTAATACCCTGTGATAAATTAACATTAATCATAGATGATTGAATTAAAGAAAAACTTAATTTACAATTAAATGAATTGGACGTGAGCAATTTGGATTTGCTTGAAAAATTTTACCCACAAGTTTCACGATTCCTGTATTCATACCATTAGTAATAATCCAAGCACCTTAAAACAAAAAATATATATACCCGTTAGAAAATTACAAAAATTTTTGTTGTAATAATCTTCTAGGAAATAAGAGATCATAATGAGAAAAAAGCATCACAATACGTCGCTCTCCATTGGGGACAGAATAAAATAGATTAATATTAGTTGACGAGAAAAACAATATGGAAGTTTATATACGTTACTGATGTTTAATAGCAGAGATACGATAGAATAGATTGTGACAGAAACTCTAGTTGTTATTATTGTTCCACAATTTGACTAAGAAAATGATGTCAGTCACTCTTATTCTATGTGAATCAGTGAGTGAGAACAATACTTCGTATTTGCAGCTACTTCATGTTAATCTTTCCTCATTTATGTTAAAAATTCGTGATAAACGAAAATCTAATTTGGATTGTTACTTCAAAGCTATTTCTATTTGAACCGAAGGTAGCTTTAACTTGAAAGGCAAAACACTATTTAAAAATCAACACCTGTTGTATTGGCCACTTTTAGAAGGCCACGTTCAAATGCTCGTAATAGTGCCGGTTTCATATGATAATCTCTTGCACCGCCTGCGATCGAAATTACTAGTGATGGTGGCTAGAAAACAAAATCAGTTATAGATAACTGGATTTCATAACAATCAAGTATACTTCGGTACACCATCGTCGAAACATTAATTCTTTAACATCTTTAATAGAAGCATCCGGTGGTATGCAAATAAATTGTGCTTGATTAGTTTTTTTATCTGAAACTTAAATAAAGACAAAAGAGAGAAAAAAATCATTTATCTCCTGCATTTAACATAAAGATGTGTACATCTTACAAGTAATTGTTCCAAAAGATTTAACATTTATTGCTTCGTATGACTATGAGAAAAAGAAAATATAAAATTAGATAATTGTTGTTGTTTTCTTTTTACTTTAAGTATATTTCGACGATGATTTTCAGGTATAAAAGTCGATAAGATTTTGGTGGCATTTTCAAAAAGAAAAGTTGCCGATGAAATTGTACTTGAGTCTTGCACTGGAAACATATCCAAGCGAATGAATATTTCTGAAAATACGCAATGAAAAACGAATCATATTTTTCTGTCATCAGAACAGTCTGTATACATGCTAGAAAAACTTTCACTGTTTCTCCTCTTTTTATCAATTTAAAACATTGTTGAATGTATGTCACTGTTCAGATGATATTCTACCAATATTCATAGGAGGATCAGCGACAATTCATAACATTATTTATCTTTTGATGTGTTCAAATTTTCCGACGATACTTTCTTCTAGATTTTCTCATACAAAGCAACATGTTTTAATGTACAAAGAGCAAAATACTGGACATTTTCCTTACGCTCACAGTTTCTAACATCGTATTCGCTTCAGTGATCTCTTGATAGAAATCATAGATAGCAAAAATTGGTTCTATTCAATCAATTATTGGTCAATTGCCAGAGGTATGAAGCTTGAGATCTTCCTTTTTGTGCGTTTATATGTGTTGTCAGAGAATAGAAAATAAATGTATGATATTGACAAGTATAGTCATCAATGAAATAGCAAAACGAAAGAAGGCACATATATGCTAATTGACAGAATAAGTATAACTCATTTAAATGAAGGTACGTTTTAACGCTGAAGAGTGAAAAATAATCAATTTGTGAAGGTAATTTTTTTCAAATCGTTATTTTAGCTAAAAAAGAACTTTTTTTTTTCAAAGCATCCAAGGCGTAGTTTTAATCATAAAAGCACATGCCTTTTATCGACCTTGTCTTACTGCGCAGATGTTAATTGCAATCAGTCGTAGGTAATAAAGATGAGAACAATACAACTGAGATGCATATAGGATGTAGCACATCGCTATCATTAACACGAGTGCAAGAGATCAACTGGTCATCTGGTTAATTTGATGAAGATATTGTCTTGATTGGCTAATTTGTTTAAAAATGAATCGTATCAGAACTTTTTGAGTTCTAGCATTTATATATTGTAGCTGTAATTCTACATGTATCTGTTATTCAATTGCATATTTAAACGTTTAATCGTGCTTTTCAAAACCATATATCTCATAATTTCGACTTGAACTGTTCAATCACATTGATCTTGATTGACAAAAGCCTCAGAGCTTCAATAAAATTAGGACAATCTTAACAATTTCAAGCTAATCTATTATGTTGTATTCAATAGAAAACATTAGCCACTTTTGGATTATATACAAAAAAAAACACAATTTTAAAAGTAAATTAGTTCTAATCTAAATCAATTATGCTAAATTCTTTCTTTTAGTTATTTAAATATCTGATTAAAGTGCATAAGGCCAACATTTACACACATAATAAAAGATGATAAAACGATTCTATGATTTTGTTTGTATTTTTTTCAATAGATCACGATTACATTGATCAGCACTAAAACAATTTCAATAGATAGATCGAGTTTTTCTTCATTGAAAGAAAAATAAACTGACTTTTCAAGTAATGATCGAGCTCTTTCAACAATATCAAAATCTTCAGTTGACTCTTCGACCTAAAATGAAAAAGAAATAATCGAAGAAATGAATTGATAAGTTAACATACAGCATAACTTTTAACTATATTTTCATCTTCATCAGAGTCTAAAACAAAATAAAAATTTGTGAAGTACCGAAAGAGAAAAACAAAATAGAACTTACCAACAAGAATACCTTGAGGTACGAATGTTTGTTTTTGTCGTGGTTCGATGACATTGACACGATTTTCATTATTCTAAATAGACAAATCATTTTTAGACATATTGATTAATTGAAAACATACTTGAGGTGTTTTTCGTCGTAACATAGATAATTCATTTTCAACAATAACAAGACGTGCATTAAAATTTGAGATATCTGCTGATGATGAGAGATTCTAGAGAAATAATTTTGCTATTTATTTTTTGAAATTTTCAATGAAAATAATTTACATTTCCTGAATGAGTTTCTTGTAGAATTGAAGTTACATTTTCGAGTCGTGCATTAATATCTTCAACTTTAACTTTTAACATTTGAATTTGTTCTTCTAAACGACTTATTATTGATACTGGTATAGGTTCATTCAATTGAGGCTGCTTTTGAGGATGTGCTGAAGTATTTTTTCTGATATAAATTTCAAGAAAAACAAAAACAAACAAATTATTTACTAGATGATTCGAACTCTGATCCATCTAACCAATTTTCAATATGTTGTTGCTTTGGCATTGTTAAATGATGATTTTCATGATATTTTTGAATTGATGCAAATTCATCAATATCATGGTCGATTTTTTTACTCGTTTCCAAACCCATGTCACGTAATGGATGAAATACATTTGCACCCAATGGTGATTCTAAATATTAAAGTATGAATCGTTGGAAATTCATCTATTTTTATTTATTTACATACGTGTGCTAGATGATATTCGTTTCTTTTCTCTATCACCATTAGTTAACTATCAAAAAAAAAGCAAATACAGTTGAAGAGATCCATTCACTTGAAAGTATCTTTGTTTTCATTAAAAGGTTTCAGTAACATACACGGGCTGAACTAGCTCCAGATCTTTTTTGTTGTTGTTGCTGTTGAATTAAATTAATTTCTTTACATTGTTGTCTGACAAGTGCAATCACGTCACATGCCATTTGTAATTTTCTTTCGGCAAAACCTGTTATGAAAAATTGTTCTTTGGTTACAGGTGGTTTATAACTGAAATGATCGCGTAATGCCTAAAATAAAATTTGTTTTGTCGACAATAAAATAGTTCATTTACATTAATTAAGCATAACATTTATTGTTTACTTTATACATCGTATCAATAAAATGACTGTCAGTTTTGCCATAGAAATCGCAGTTACATTTGTCAAGTAGATTTTTAGCAAACAATGGATTAAAATCAAGAAAAACATAATGATAAATTTTTAATAATTCACATGGATTGCCTGCTTGAAGTCTATTTAAAGAGAACCGTACGTACAAAATTAAATTTACAATATATAAAATTTAACTAACGATTTATAATCAACATCACGAAATTTAATCAAGCGTAACTCTGTTTGTAGTTTACGTAGATAGTTCTGCAGATCCCCTGTAGACAACATGTTTCAAATCAATGTTCTTCGATACAAATCTGGAAACAAACAAAACTTTTATCGTTCCATTGTACCAATGACTTGATTTAAATCGTCTCGGCGACCTCTATTGATAACTATGAGAGAATAGTGAGAAGCACCGCAGCAAGCAGAAGTCAAGTAGCTATATATTTACAGACATATTTTCTTGTGTCTTTCAATTTCAAATGAGTGTTCAGTATATAGGAACATATTAGATTACTGAGATACTATTATTTTTTGGAAAATTAGACATTCACAATTAAAGAACAATGTGCATATGCATGATCCGATGTTTCTATGGATGAAAACGTTATTAAAGTCTTGTAATAGTTCATTGAGGATAAACAATCAATGTAGATTACAAACTACAAAGTGAAATATTGCAGAGCAACAGTGAAATTCTCTTGGATTCAAACAGAAAATAATATTATATGATAAAAAATAGTATGAGTTAAGTTTTATTCTTAAGTATCTTATGAATGTCTTATTTTTAAAATCGAACTTATTTTTGATACAATATGTATTTTTTATCTTATTTCTGAGAAAGTATCTTGAAATGGTGAATTACTATCGATCGAATACTCACACACTGCACACTGCACCATGTTGGGAAACTACACCAATCATTTTCTGTTTTTCTTTTGTAGCGACATCTCACATTCTCTTCAATATAATAAAGAATAGGGACATGACACGCATTTAAGGTGTAACAACAGCTGTTTCACATATTGAAAGTAAGAAAGCAATCATGGAAAACGATCAATTGTCAACTTCGGTCTCACCTTTAGCATTAGGTGGTGCCATAACAGGCATTTTTGTGCTTATTTTTTCAATTATTTATTTATTTGTTCGATCACCTTCATCGTCAGAGACGGATGAAACTGAAAAGCCAAGTAAAACAGAGAATGATCGAAAAAAGTCAGCACCAAAATCGACAACAACAAAGCCCATAAAGCAAGATACAAAAGTAACAAATAAATTTGCACATCCATGGTTATGTGCATCATTACGAGCTCATTCAAGTTCAGTAACTGGATTAAATTTTAGTCATAATGATAAATATCTTGCATCAGTTGCTGAAGGTAATTTCATAATTCTTGATTTTGATTTTATTTTGATTAACCATTTTATTTTATCTCGTAGATGATAGTGTTCTTTTATGGCCTACAAAAGATTTTGATGGAAAAGAACATAAGTATATTGGTTGCCATTTATTACACTTAAAATAGTCTATTTTCTTAGGCATACTCGAGTTAATATTGCATTTGATCAAGCCAATCGTGTCATATTTAGTCCGGATGGAAAGTAAATAAAATTAAGAATATGAAAATAAAATTTCATTTTTTTTCAATTCTAGAGCATTTCTTGTTAATTTATTAAAAGAAAATGTTATTCGTGTATACAAATTTGAAAAACGTGCCGATGGCTTAATAACAAATGCTCATGCTGTGTTAGATTTTCCTAAAGTAAAAATAAACAAAATATATTTATTTATTTATTTATATGCGTATATTTAATTTCTTTTTTGCTTTGCAGAAAAATGAAAGTCCTATTATTTCTATTGGTATTGCTTGTACTGGAAAATTTATTATATCAGCAGAAGTTAACAATAAAATTGTTTTATACGATACTAAAGGTAAATCAATTAGTTTCAGTCTTCAGGTTTTTATAAGTCACTTTTTTGATTTTGATTAAAACATAGAGACTATCAATCCAATAGCAGTACATTTGTAATTTCTGTTTCAATTTATAGGTGAAGTTCTTGATACAATTGAAACTCATCAAGGTCATTTAACGTATGCTGCTGTATCTCCATGTGGTCGATTTTTTGGTTCATCTGGTTTTATGAGTGATGTGCGATTTTACGAAGTTTGTTTTGAAAAATCCAATGGAAATTTCAAAGAAACTCGAAAAGCATTCGATCTTAAAGGACACAATGCTCAAGTTTCATGTTTTAGTTTAAATAAAGATTCAACACGTGCTGCAACTATATCAAAAGATAATACATGGAAATTATGGAATACCGATGTTGATTATCTTCATAAACAAGATCCAAAATGTCTATATACGGGCAAATTATCATACAATATTGAAGATTTAGGTTTAATTGTTCTTTCACCCGATGCTTTATCAGTCGCTATTTCAATCGATAATCGTATTATGTTTTATAATTTAAGTAATGAGGAAAAAAAATGTGAACAAGATATTGAAAATTCTCATTCAGGTAATAAATTATATCCATTGGATCATGACAGTGTGCACATTCTACTGTATTATATCTTAGAAATCTTTTTAAATAACATTTTATAGACAAGGATATTTATTTGAATCATTCTTTTTAGACACTATTCGTGTATTAATTATGGATGGCACAGGAAGATATGTAGCATCTGCTGGTGACCGACAGATACGAGTATTTCATAATATCGCTGGTACCTATTTATTTTATATTTAAATACATTTTATTTGAAAGATTTTACTTTTAGAATTAAAAGGGTTAATTGATGATTTAACAGAAAAAGCTCATACAGCAAAACAATTAACATTAAAAGAACGCATGGAAGAACAAATACACGATGCAATGTAAGAAAATTTCAAATTCTTTCTTTTATTTTTTTGATGAATTTTTGTTTCTTCTTTTCAAGGTCAAAAATCGATAAAATTTTAAATGGTGCTTCTTAGTTAATTGGTTTTATGAATATTCTTTTTATTCAACGTTGTTATTTCTACATCTATGGAAAAAAAACGATGACATATAAAGTATACGTTCCTTTATTCTGTTTGTTTTAAATTATTTCTTGGTTGGGGCTTCATTAATCCATTGTTGAAGTGTTTTTTTCGAACCGATTTCATATAAAAGATGAACAACTCTTTCAACAGCTTCAGTAAAATGTTGATATTCAGCTAGTACACCAAAAATTTGGTTGATATCTAAAATTTGCTTAGCACCTGGTTTTATTTGTGTTGCTATTTCACTAAGTTTAAGTTCAGTAGCTAATGCATCTTGTAATATAATTGACTTATTTTCTTCATCAAATCCACTTAAATATCGTATCCAAGCGCCAACAGACAATGCACAAAAATGTGGATTCATTCCTCGTTTAAGTTGTTCAACAATAGTAGGCACAAGAAACTTAGGAAATTTCGATGCTCCATCCATGCATACTCGTAATGCAGTATCTTTAATGTATGGATTTGAGAAACGTTCAATAAGTGTACGTTTATAATTGTCAAGATCAATACCAGGTACTGGTGGTAAAGTTGGAGTTATTTCAATATTCATTAATTGTTCAATATAGATTTCAATTTGTTTATCTAACATTATTTCATGAATATAATTATAACCCATTAAATGACCGATATAACACATGCTTGTATGTGATGCATTTAAAAGACGCATTTTCATACATTCGTATGCTTCTACATGTTCCGTTAGAAGCACATTATAGGGTGTAGTAGAAAGTAATTCGAGTGGAGGTCGTCCATTACAAAATGAATCTTCGATGACCCATTGAATAAAGGGTTCAGTTATAACTGGCCATCCATCAGCAATACCACAATGGGAGCGAACATATTCACGATCAGCATCAGTTGTTGCTGGTGTAATGCGATCAACTAGATTTAGGAAGTAATAAGAAAGAGGATTTTTTTATTTCTAGTTTTTGAGAAAAACTTATTTTTCTTACCCATAGCATTTGGAAACGTTACTTGTGTTTCAATATATTCGATTAATTCAGTATTATTTAAACTTTTAGCAAATTGTAGAATACATTTTTTTATAACTTCACCATTTTGTTGAACATTATCGCATGACATAACTGTAAATGGTTTTATATTAGCACGACGACGTGCATCTAATGCATGGGTAATGAAACCAAATACTGTTCTAAGTTTATCGGAATTTGATAAATCATGTTGAATATCAACATTATTCATATCTAAATCGTAGCCACTTTCAGTGATTGTCATTGAAACAATTTTCGTATCAGGATGTACAAGTACTGCTAAAGCACTTTCAGGTTCATCAGGTGCGTAAATATAATTTATCAGAGAACCAATAATACGAACATTAACATCATTTTCATCAGTACCTTTTGTTACTAATGTATATAAACCATTTTGTTTATTCATTACAATACTCATCGGTTTATCAAATGAGCGAACTCCAATACCAACAATACCCCACTCAGTTTTTTGATGTTCACTTGCTAATACATCCATATAGTATGCTAAATGTGAACGATGAAAATTTCCAACACTCAAATGAACAATGCCGTGTTTAAGTTGGTTACGATCAAACGATGGTAAATGAGTACCAATTGATTCACATTTCGATTTGTCAACAATAAGTTGACTTACAACTGAATTAGTAGTCATTTTGATCTGAAGAAATACAATAGCGAAGAACAGCTAAATGAATAGAAAAAAAGCTTTAAGCTAAGAAGCATGTACTGCAAGCAACATTATCTTGTGTAGTGTTTATATGATATAACATTCAGATAATAAACAGTAAATAAATAGAGAAATATTAAGAGTACCTTTCAAATAAAGAAAAGAAACTGAAGTATATGCAAGATACTTTATTTAAAAACAAACATATCTCCATGTATAAGAGAATATCATGAAGCGATTTGATTTTTTTTAATTCACAAAATAATGTATTCAAAAGCTTTAAAGATGAATATCAAATAAAAAATATTATGTCGCACAGCATAGCTTCACAATGGTAATGATTATTGGGGTGGGGGACAATAGCCCATGTCAGAAGGCGGTGGACAATAACCCATGTCAGAAGGCGGTGGACAATAGCCCATGTCAGAAGGTGGTGGACAGTAACCCATACTCGGAGGCGGTGGACAATAGCCCATATCTGGAGATGGATAATATGAAGGTACTGGTGGTGGTACATAATGCTGATGGTGGTGATTTGGAAAATGATGTGAAGGCGGTGGTGGGTAATAACCAGCGCCTGATTGATATGGTTGTGGTTGATAAGGGTAGCGAGTAGGGTAACAGCATTCTTGTCCCATCTTTATTAGAATAATATTTCAAATGAATATGTGAAAATAAGGTCAGTTGATATAAATTAAAGTAGATGAAGAAACTGAAGAACTCGTGTATATTATACTGAGTTGTGACGTAGCGCAACATAGATATTTGTTGTTTTTGACTCATTTAAGTTAAGAAAAACAAGCAAATTGATTAAACGTGTCAACATCGTATATCAGCTTTTTTCATAAAAAAAAGATAACCAAAGATTTTATGGTGTAATTACATGTTTATGTTATGTATAGTATACAGAAAGTTGAACCAATGAGCATACATATTGTGCTTCTAATGGATCACATATACTATCTATTGACATCACTTGTTGTTCAAAGATGAATAGATTAGAATGTGATCTATAATAAAACTAGTAGATGTTGCGTTGAATAATTTAATAGTTGACTGCTATCATACGGCATCTGTTGTTCTAATTCATCAATGAATATTCGTTTCGCCTATATGTATATATTTAAGAGAACAATAAGCAAATAATCGGACAACACAACATTTTTCAATCTAGATAAATTGCTAGTCATATTTTCTTGTTTTATCCAATATGATTTTGACGTTAGAAGATCTTCCAAATGAAATACTTCTTTTAATCTTTAATCATTTGCCAATTATCGATATTCTTTACTCATTTTATCGTCTCAATCATCGATTTACATTACTAATTCAAACATTCAAAGATCTTCATATTGATTTTTCATGTCAACCTTTGAGTAAAACTCAATTTATTTGTATTATAAATCAACTTCATTCATTAGATATTAAATCCATAAAGATATCGAATCGTTATTATGTTGATGCCATAACATTTTTTGTTACACATATTCTGCCTAATCAACTTATTCATTTTCGATCACTTCTACTTACTGATGCTGATCGAAATACAATCGTAAAAATTGTACACAACTACCCTAAATTAACATCACTTTCCATAGAATCATCACTGTGGCGTTCAATGCCTCGTCGTTTTCTTCCTCATTTTTCAAATTTAACGCATTGTCGTTTACCAACGCTTGATTTACTAAATGGTTGTCATTTGAAAATAATCGATCTTACATTAGATCATTGTACAAGTGATAATCTTATTCAATTGAATACTACTGTTCCTCATGTACGTTGTCTTACATTGATATTAACTAACAATACAAATATTCCTCCTTTAATCAATTTTCCTATTGACTTGATTTCTCTTAAACTTATATTACGATCTGTTTTATTTAACGAATTAAAACGATTAATAATGATGATAAAATATGTTAAAAATTTAACTGTATCATTTAGTAATACAGAACATGAAGTTCATTGTTTTGATGAATATTTATTAGGCGAATGTTGGTTTTCAATTAATCAATATGTTGAAAATCTTCAATTTAGCATTATTGTAAATCAAACATTTGCAGTATTTTTAATGTCGAATCTTATTTCAAATTTTAATTGGTTCCAAAGAAAAATAGTTTGTCAACCAATTGATGACACCAATGGTTATCATCTATTTTCATTACCTTTTATTGACGACATATATACCATTAATACAAATCATCTTCAAAATATTATGATCAGTAGCAAGGATTTTATTCGTGTAAATCATCTTCATTTAACTATTCCTAATAATGATATTCAATCGTCTTTCAATTTTTCATCAAATTTTATTTTTCAAAATTTAAAAAAATTGACTGTAATTTCTCATCGTGTTAATGATATGATGAGGTCTTTTATTGATAATGTTATGATCAATACTCGTCTTCAAACATTAGAACTTCGTTTTACAATAACGAACAATGGTTGTCGTAAATGGTTTGATAGATTTATTTATTACCTTCCATCATCAATTCATACATTAATATTGAGTACAACATGTACAACATTTCTTTCAGATATGTTAGATAATAATAGTACATTACTTCCAAATATAAAACGTCTTATCTGTTCAGTAAAAAATCAAGATCATTTTGATACGTTAATATTACTTTTATTGGAAACAATCCATGGAAAACCATTGATCTATTTGAATATTTCATTAGAAAATTCAAGTAAATCATCCAGTTTATTGTCAGGTTGGCTATTGAAAACAAGTTATTTGGAAAAAGCAACAATAAAATGCTCGGATCGACAATGTGCTATTTGGATTTAGCCAAATTTTTCTAATAAATCTTTACAATATGCTTTTTTCTATGCATAATATTTCTATGTATTTTTGTATTTGAAAAATATGGATTCATACTAATATGTACATTCACATATCAATTTTGAATTATTAATAGTAGTCTATGTGGTTAGCGAGAAATTAGAAATCATCGATCTATTTGTCATCATAGGGTGTGGATGTGAATTACGATGCGTACACAGTGATTCCTACTGAAATCAGATGATTAATGTGATGCTCTTCGCATCCTGTCGAGTGCTTGTAGTATGCAAACTGATGCCGTCAGCATCCCGACTGAGTCACGTAGCGTTCCAAATTTTTTTTGGGACTGTAAGAGTAAGAATGGTAATGACCAACAACTTTGTCAATCTTGCTATTGAAGTCCACGACCAACTTGTTTCAATTATTATCATATGCAAATATCTGTTTTAATTCATCTTGAAAATAGGACTGATTTTATTTTATTTATATGTCTAATTTATTTTCATTTTTTTGTCTCTGTTTGACTACATTACTTTCGTTTTCAATGCCTGTCCTATTAATTAGATTTGTTCTCATTCCGAAAGATGAACTTTGTTTCGGTAAAAATACAAATATTGAACGGAAATTTTATGATATTCATATAAATTACGAGTGTAAAATACGTAGATTGATTCTATCGATCCATACTCATCTATTTTTCTTTTTATTTAATTATTTATTAATTGTACATACAAAAAAAGCAAAAATTCATAATTAGTCATTTTTTTCATGCTCATGGTATACAGGTGTGGGTGGCTGCGGTTGTGTGATAACTAGATCAATACAAACCCCAACTCGCGATACCCACATCCACACGCTCAAGATTAATCATGGTTATTCAAAAACTAAACTGAATCGAATCTTGATTACTTAGAAAAATGAAGTGCTTCACAAAATATTCTAGCATCATACAACTAAGTGATGTCGATAATAACGAGCCTCGGAATAATTATTCGTCAAGCACATTTAGATAGACTTCCAATAAGACACGGCCAATGGATTAAACAAGAAACTCATCTAAATGTATTTCATGTATTCTAAAACCGTAGCTAGATGCTCTTGGCTTTTACACGGGCAGGTGTCATTGTGAATTTAGCATGAAACACTCTGTATTTTGTATAGACAAATCTTATTAATCGATAGAATGCTTGTAGAATAAAACTATTATAACAATAAGCAAATGTTCCATAATCAAAAAAGCTCATAGGCCGACATCGAACAAGATCTTTATCGATGAGTGTAGCGGTGCCATATAAATCTCCCATAAGAATAGTCGTCGTCTGTGATAGAACCCTCACAGAATATGCGAGCATAGTTGCATATGTATTCGTTGAAAGAGGAACTTCAACATCCTTTTTTCGTGTCAGATTAATGGTCAACAGTAATCAATATTGTAAAAATAGAGCTAATTAGAGCAATAAATGTAAAAAGAATATTTGTTAGGATCGCGTCTTTTTTTGTTTAAATCAAATACTAATAATGTACGCAAGAAAAGGATGCTTCTTTCTACTTTCTATCTTATTTCTTTTCGTTTTTGTTTTAGAGAAGAGAAAGCTGCTAATGATCATGATATAATCTACCAGTCACTGTCCCTACAAAATAGAGGTTAACATTGAGTGTTGATTAGATTTTTTAAGAAGTGTGTGCAGTGTTTGTAGCGAAAATTTTATATCAAGCGATTTTTTTCACCCGTTGCTTTCGATCACAAAAATTCTCAATATGCGTACGGTCACTTTGTATGGGAAAGTCACGTAGGACTGAATGCTGTGATTTTATGAAGAGTGTTTAATATGAGTATATATTGCTAAATTTCTCTTGTTAGACGTGTTTTATTTATTGCTTTGAATGAAATTCAGATTACAAGTGAAAGGTAGCATTCTTTACCCGTTGGTTTTAGTTGATCGAATGGGCATTTCTATATTATGTGCTGTTGCGTTTGATTGTTATTTGTTTGTTAGAATTACGTCTGCACTAATTCCTTGGTGAGGTTAGGATTATGTCGTTATCCAACGATCAGTTTTATCGTTATGAGTGTAGCTTATTGAAATGATTAAACACATTTGCATATATTCTATTTGGTTTTCGACTAGGTCAATTGCTGAAAATCAAAGGTAGAAACTAGCAGATTGATTTGTCTTTTTCTTAAAAGATAGATTAATCTGCTTTCCATCGATTTAGTTACATCCTATTCATATTTCACCTATTCAACAAGGAACAACAATCACTCAAAAATTGTGTTAAATCAACTTCGACAACAAATTCTTACTACTATTCAACAAGCTGGTGGTCAGCTTAAATCAATTGCTGCTTTTTTGAACGATTTTATTTAGATTTTGACGTAAATTCAATCATGCATCAAACCAAACCTATATTGTATCTCGATATATCATTGCAGCTATTATATCCATTGTCGGTAGTCTTCAAGATCTTATTATTAATGGTTTGGTGAATTCGTATGATTCATACCACAAAAATTTCATTTTTCTTCATCAATGCATCGTACTTCACTGGATCTTGTCGAAATCTTCAATTCACTCCATGCTGAAATCACACCAGCCATCGTTGGCATTGTTTAAAATATTCTCAACCATGAAGGTTTAGCCGGATAATTTCAGTTAATTAGATGCTTTAAATAATATTATTAATAGTTAGTATTTGTATAAATAGGAAATTCTGCGAAAAAAGATTCAAGTATTCGTTTATTTTCTATAGATCTTCAAATAAAAATTATTAGCGCTATTGCAAGTGCTCAAGCTGCTCTTACAGATGTTCTAAATAGCATTACTAGTTTTGGTTCAAAATCACAATGAGAATAAGTTCAATAACAATTTGTTGGTCAAAATCTTAATATTGTTGCTTCAATCTTAGGAACTATCAGCAATCTTCATGGTTCCATCAATGATCGTCGTTAAATTTATCGATAAAAAATATTATATATTATTAATTTTTTGATGAAATAAAGATTTTCTAACAAAAGTCATCCTTTTTTAAAATTGCTTTCTTGAGTATCGAAAAAATGTGAGATTCACATCCCATTCTCATTTCTTTTCAGTGATAGAATTCAGTCGAAACATGTGAGTAGGAAGAAACTCTGCCAGTGTATATGAAGAGTGAGCCATGTACTAGACTGCAAAACGGTTGTTTTTATTCTGAGACTTCGATTATTTTTCTTTCTCTTCTTCCGAGGATGAAATGTCGGAAATTCTACGTTATCGGAAGAATATATATATGAACAGTTACGCAGACAATTTCATAGAACAATATTTATAGACTTTGTTGAAATAAAAACTATGGCCGTATTTGGAACTGATGAATATGAATTCAAAATGTTCGGCACTACGGTGACTGTACCAAATGCAGATATTGCCAAAATAATGCATTATTTAGATTGTATATGTACCGTTATTGATTACAATGATAATGACATTAATCGATATCGAAAGTATTCAAATTGGGCTAATATGTCGAATTATGAAGATCGTTTGATTTATTTACTGGCTTTAGCACTGTCGCCAGATGAATTAGAAGACAAAGTCTTTTTTGAGTCAACAGAATTGTGCCCTACAACGAACAACCAATTTTATGAAATTGGTCAGATTAAAAATCTGTTAGTGGTTGCTCCATCAATTATCATCGGTGGTCGATCGTGCCAAGTAAAAAAAATTATGACATATGAACCAATTTGGCTACAGAGAAATTATTATGAACCAATGCTAAGACTACAAAGACGGTTTAGTCCAGGTGATGACGACGACGACGACGACGATGATGATGATGATAATAATAACTATACAACGTCATCGAGCACTTGTGTTATTTCTTAAAAATGAACGTGTATACTTTCAGTTATTTTTTGCTTTAGCATGCCAACCACCTTTCATATTCTCTATGTTTTTTTTTCACTGGATTTCTGAATCTACACAATATAGATATGAATCAATTTTGAATCTTAGTGGAGAGTTTCAACATGAAGTATCGCTTGTCAGTTCTTTTGTGTTAACTGAACGATTTATTCATTATGATATCGTTCTTCAAGGTGAAATACATTTTGAATTACAGTAAAAATCAATGAATAGATAGATACCCAACACAACATTCGATATCAGCATCTAAAAAGAATACTTGCTAAGTGACAAAAAATAGTCCTTCCTGATTTTTATAGTTTCAACCTGGCCATCCTGGTTGTTTGAAAATCTGTTTTAATCGAAATTTTGTAAAAAAAATTTGGATATAATACGAAATTCTACTGGACAGTTGTAATGCTGGAATATAGTAGAAGACCCGGGATCTAATACGGTGGGAGGCTCGTAAGTTTCTTCATTATTAAAAGGGTGGTTTATTAGATGAGAGTTTGAATAATGATGTGGCCCATCCTCAAGAATGCTTATAACTTGCCGTTCCAATAATCTATAGGAAGGGTGGGTGTGGGTGTGGGTGGAAAGGGATAGAATCTCCACGCCCACACCCACACCCACCCAGCAACTCTAAGAAATGCACTCGTTCGATGCTTGAATTTTAACGTTTTCAGACATCACTAGTGTGGTTCAACCTATTGAGAATGTCTTTTTAACAATAGCGTGATGTAAAATTGCACTGTTAATGAAACTTGAACGGGTTTTTAGGGCACTGTTCTGACTATAGAAAATTTCGTTTATGATTGCTGAAAGAAGGTCAACGATGGTAGTTGTTTCTGATCGCTATTGATCATAGTATGGTCGTATACGAATCTACTTGATTGGTGTGAATTTTAGTTTGAATGACGTCCTTAATTTGAGTCGTCAAGATGTAATCGGTTATGATCACACACGGTGTTTTGAGAAAATGATGAATCATTATGTATCGATAGGAACAGAAAAATGATTACAATATTTTAATGTGCTCTTTGTTTACCTGGGCGTATCTTTTGAAACGATACGTGCACATGTGTAATGCTTAGTCTCAAACGTAATTGCGCAATGGTTTCAGATGAAAGCTATCTATAATTGTTGATCCATCAATGTTTGTATGTTTTCGATAAGATTCTACACTGCTTTTCTTTATAAATGGAAACACTGCCTCACAGAATCAACATAGTTAGGTTCTGAAAGCAGGAAAGATTTTAGAAAAGAGAACACGTAAAATACTTGTACAAAATACAACTGAAGTACAAGTTAACATCAAATCATATACAATTCAATCGCATAATGTTACTAGAAAAAAAGAAATACCATTTTCTTCTCTAATGACAATATCCGACCGGAAACCGTTTTTCTGAATGACAAATATTTTTCTCCCATTATCTATTAAAATTGAAGAGACTCACACCTTTATTTAATAGTTTTATTAACTTAATTTTTAACAATAATAAGAAAATATCTTGAATCTATATTGCAAAAATCGATCTAACTAACAGTATTTTTCGGTGTTTATCATCACCATAGAACTAATGATTCGAATCTAAGAGCAGTATTTCGGCGTCGTTTCAATTACGAGTATATCCATATGTAGGGCCGAATCCACCTCCAAAACCTCCATAATTTTCAGGGCCCCCACGACCTCCAAAACTGCTAGGAACCCCATGATGTGGTGGAACACCGTAATATGGAGGACCAGCAAAGTTTTCATTCACACCACAAAAACCTCCACTACCACCGATACCTCCATGGCCTCCGAAACCTCTTAGATCGCCGGACCCGCCACGATGTCCTAAAATATCAAATCATTGTAAATATTTGAATTATTGTATTATATTTTACCGCGATGGCGACTAAAATGGCCGTACATAATTAATTTTTTGTTTGGATAAAAAAAATGACAAGAATAACTAAGAAAGCATGACTATACACAAACTTATATACTTGTGTTTTTCTCACTTCTCAATTCTATTACCAATCAATTTCTATTTTAAATATATATACATAGGCACTCTCGTGCGTTTCTCGTATGATTTAAATGTTTTACCTCCAATAAAGGCAATCAACTTCAAAATCAGCCATTACATCATGTATGTGTTATGCATTTTAGATGTGAAACCTCACAGAATAAGGTATATGCATATGCAATTATTATCAGATTCATCTAATAGGACACACTAACGGAAAATCAATATTTATGAGGCCTTTTTATCTTTTCGATAAAGCAGAAACCAGACTTTGAGTTATACATTATTCATATGTATGATTCAATAGAACAGTAATAAATCAAAGTGTATATTCAATAACATAGCACATATGAGAAAACAATCCAATATAAATGTAATAACTATGTTTGTCTATTCCAAAATATTTCTAAATAAAATTTTACTATTTTATATATTTCTTTTCGAGCAGATGTTGAATCGGGTGAAGTGTAGCGTTGCCTTTTTAACTTAATAATACATGATCAGTATTTATTTGATTATCGATTTTAAAATGTTCTTTTTTGTTTGTCAACCTTGCTTTATTTACTCAAATCGATGCTTACTACAAATACTCAATATGCGAAAGAATTTGTTAAGAATCAGACTTTCATTTTCATGGCAATTTCGAAATCCTTTCAACAAATGTTTCTAGACATTGAATTATCTGATAATTATTATCTGCTTGTAAACTACAATTGTTTTCGTATAGATAGATCATCGGTATGCTTTTCTAAATTAAGTTCATTTTACCTCAGTCGATGGTTATGATCACAATGTTTCTCAATCCACCAATTTAGGACCATTCAAAACACATATATAATCAAGCAGAACTTTTTGCTTATCGCAAATGTTCTCACGTTTAACGCAAGTTATAACATCAACATACATGAACGTGAAACTTAATGGCATATAATCAGTAGCTAAATTTTCTTATTGAAGTTGTACATAATAATAAGTAGAACAGGAAAAGCTAGCAATTTATTTTAAATACGTCGAAAGGCAGTTGCCTTTTTTCAAACATAATAGAAACTCGATCAGAATATAATAATTATGAATCGAAGATATAGAAGAGATGAATTTTCTTTCATCGAACTAACTTAAATCAATGAAAGCGTTACTTAATGGCACAATGAGATATGGAGTGTAGGTGGGTGATACAAAGAATGAATGTTTCCAATTTTCAAGTAGAAGTTTATATTGATGTCTTGCTCATGAAATTGATCTTTTGCCCAGGTCGAGCATTACGACGACTAGATACGGCCGTAAACGACCGTTTACGATGACGTATACGACCGTATACGCCGAATTTACGACCGTATACGGGCCGTATTTTAACGTTTTGGNTCGTTTAAAATGGTGTGGGTGATACAAAGAATGAATGTTTCCAATTTTCAAGTAGAAGTTTATATTGATGTCTTGCTCATGAAATTGATCTTTTGAGTATCAGAAACCACTCTTTTTCGAAAAGTGATGGGATTCTTGATGAACAGATGAGTTCCCTTTCTTGACACATACTTTTACATTAAATGACAAATAAATGACACCTAACATAACTTGAAAAGGTTTTTCAATCAAGATAAAGTTTAATTTGGCCTGAAGTCTCTTGGCTATGATATATTTTCGATTGTAAAAGCTCACATGATTTGTAAAATGCCTTAAAAAATTGTTTCGCAGATTTTTACAATAACGGATAAAGTATGGTAATGTTTCACTGTAAACATGATGAATATTGTAGAGTACTATTTTTTTTCTGTGCAGTATTTTAGTTAAGAAGATTTCATTATTCGACTGCTAAATAGCAAAGTAAATATACGTGCTTTGCTGCTTTTTTTGAAATATTGGAATGATCGATGCTAGGCACATGTGCATGACATTGGAATGGAAATTGCTTCATGGAATAAATGTATATATATATATATTTACTGCACAACTAAGAAAAAAGTTGTAGAGTTTAACTGTTACATGTATTACATATACTTTTGCCTTTTTTGGAAGTGTTAGAGACTCGATTTCAGTTGCACCTCTATCACACAGACTACTTAAGTGAAAAAGTTTTATTTCATTCATGCTGGTTTCATCAACAAGATTTTTTCAACTATGAATCTTCTGATTGGAATATTGTTAATCATCCAGTGCAGTTGATTCCGTTTTGTATGCGTTCATTAGATTCATCATGTAACACATCGATCTATAATGTAGCAAATATCATCCATGGAACGCCAATAAAATTTGAAACATTGCAGAGAGAAAACATAACAAGTCAACAATTATATTTGTGGTTTGCATTTCTCGATCTTATTGAACGATACCAAGCATTTCTCGAAAAGCTGGATTCGTCTTTATTGACACAAATATTTTACAATTGTTCAGAGTTTTGGTTTGGTGAATACTGTCAGTACACGTTGAATATGTCAAGAAAACTGAATGACATGATACTAAATCGCATTCCGATTGATTTTCATTCAATGAGTTATCTATTTGGAAACGGTACATGTTATACATATCTGAAGTGTGATCGAGGTCCAGCACCATCTTGTCTCGATTGGCGAAAAATATGCGATGGTAAAATCGATTGTTTGGATGGTGGCAGCGATGAAGCTAGTTGTGACGTATTGGATATAAATGAATACAAGAAAGATGAATTTCAATGTGCTAGTGGACTGTGCATTCCGAAAGACTTCTGTAATGATGATCCATACACGGTTGCCAAAAATGTTTTTCCAGGGGGGGGGGGGTGGCAGCGGGGTTTTAAGGTGGCCCCCTAATGAATTTTATACCAAATGAGAGCCCGTCAAAACGGGATCTAGGGGTATATTTTAATGTTCTATAAGAGAGGGGCTAACTACAGAACCAAGGAAAGTTCCAGAATTTTGAGAGTTACGATTGTCTCGACTTTGCAGTGGAAAGTAATACAGCCGTAAAGAAAACGTATATCATCGTAAAGTTGATAGGGCACTTACCCAACAACTTCAAAACGCATTGCTTGAATGTCTAAGACAATGATTCTTTCATTCGTTTATCATATATTTTCGTTCTCTCTCGTGAGCACGTGCGATCAGTATTTTTATCACAAAAGAAACGAAGAAATAGTCGTCAGTCACGATCGTATCGAGTCAAATTATTTTTTGTGATCTTTGTTTCATTTTCTTTGCTTTCATACGGCATCATAGCTATAAGGAAACCGTGATCTCTCTTTAAACGAAGTGATTTTGCTTGGAATGTGAGTAAACTTCGTGTCTTTCATTCGTACCTTTTAATGATGATCATGATAGAGGGTGTGATTGTGGGTGTGTAGAACACTTCATCCTTTAAACACTCACACCGACACCGACAACCACACCCCACACACCCTCTCTTATAGATCATTAAAATGTACCCCTAGATCCCGTTTTTGACGAGCTTTCATTTGGTATAGAATTCATTAGGTGTCCACCTTAAAGCCATGTTGCTACCCCCTGGAAAAACATTTTTGACAACTGTGTAGATTCTGAATTTCGTTCCATTTATCACAAATAGTTATTTGAATGCAATCCACTGTAATATCGAATAATAATAATAATTAAATAGAGAGTAAGCGATATGTATGATTATATCTTGATTTAATACTTGCTGATTCTATAACGAGTACAACATAAATGATTGTCTTTGAGATCTACAGAATAGAAGAGTTTTCTTTATCGACACATTGAAGTGTTCTATCTGACTACTCAGGTCGAATAGACACACAGTCGTATCCGGAGTGTTTACAAAGTCCATATAATTGTCAACTTGTGTGTAGAAGTGTGATGACACAATACGATACTTCTACGGGTCTGTATACACGTTCCATACGAAGAAACCAGAAAAAACTATTGCTTGGCCGTTTTTTTTTTCAGCTTGAAATTTCTATGGCAGTAAAGATGGCGTTGTATTTTAAATGCAGTTCCATGTAAATGACGGAATATTAAGTAAAGAATCATGTATTATTAATAATTAATAGATTCTGCTAGCAGCTCAAAACATTCGCCGAGGGTGGTATGTTATCGATTGCTTGGAATTCTGAATCATATGAACCAGAGCTCCGTGGGACGAATCCCGTCCCGCCAATTTTATACAAGCAGAATTGAGATTGAGTATGGTGTATTAATTGCAGTTTTGGGACATCTCTCCATTGAGTTACACATGTAGATCAGAGCTCCGCGGGATGCGAGATGGGACATATTTTTCGTCGTCCCGCGGAGCTCTCGTACAAGGTATTCCAATTCAAGTTATTCTTCAATTAGCTATTCTTGTTCTCAAACAGACTGCGTTTGTCGATGGTAATAAAAATACCGTTTAAAATGGTGTGGGTGTGGGTGTGGGTGTGGAGATTCTATCTATTTCCACCCACACCCACACCCACACCCATGTTCTGACCCAATTTGCAAACGTCTTTCTCTTGGCTTTTTGCACATTTGTCATCAATGGAACAATTCTTTTCTTGTACGACCGAAGTCCCAGATCATCTTTTAAGACACGACAAACACTTGTTCTAGAACTATCGAGTTCCTGAGCCAGTTTCTAGACGGCACTCGTTTTCTGCGTTTTAAACGGCTTTTGATTTTTTGTATCGTTTTTTTGGTTCGGATAATTCGTGGGCGACCTGATGAAGTAGACAAATCGACAGAGCCGGTTTCGCGGATCATTTGGCACCAATTAAAAATTGTTTTACGTGAAACCGCTCCGATTAAATCATGAAATATCTTCGTTGCACTGTCACCTTTTTCATATTTTGAAAGTACTAAGTTTTGAAGATCTTTGCTTTTCATTATCTAGAAATACGTTGAAAGTACCTAGGGGAAAACGAAGACGGCAGTTTGTAGAGAATTGAATGGCGAATCTTTTAGCAACAAGATTCGATCGATTG